GTTGCTTACAATCATTATGTGCAACTGAATGAGTCGCTGTAGAGGCGCCTAATCGAGTACAACTTTCTGCTGCTGAACTCAGAGCTGAAGTAACAGCACCCTCCCGTCTTGTACCATTTTCGCGTCATCCCCTACTCCACACTCCTTTACCACGCCAACAGGTGTACCTCCTGCTTGCAACACAACCCACACCACCACCAGCCACATCCCAGGGGGCCGTATCACCATCCCCCGACCTCCCAGCAGCGCGCACCACCATATCCCATGTGCTGCAGGGAGCTCTCTCCCTCTGTACCACAGACCCCTCCTCTGACGTGCAAGACCGCTGCCGCTTCCTCTCCACCCTCCTCTCGCCTCTCCTCGCCTCCCCACCCTCACACACTAAAGCCCCTGCTGCTGCGCCTGCCGCCGCTGCTGGTAACGCTGCTGAAGAGCTTAGAGCTTTGTATCCCCAGCCAAAGGTGCAGGAGAATCGTGCCTTGCTGCTTGCACTGGCCGTCACAGTAGTGTTAGGGCCAGATCTGGTGGGGAATAATGGAGAACCCACTCCCACTCACCCAGCTGCTACTTCTGCTGCACCTGCACCTGCTGCTACTGCTTCCGCTGCTGCTGCTGCTGTCCCGGGTGCTGCTGACTCTGCTGCTGTTTCCACTGGTACTGCTGCTTCTAATCTTGGGTCACGGCAGAGCCAAGATTTAAGCACTCCGGATCGTTCTCGGTTCCTCCTGTCCTCCATGTCGCACTATGTGAATCACATTGCACCCGGATACGAACCCTTGCCTGAACGCCGCGCCTCCGAGTCATCGGGCCAAGAAGGGCCTGCCGCCTCTGCTGGTAAAGCTGCTGTAGCTGCTGCCGGTGATGGTGGTGGTGGTGGGGGTGGTGATGGAAGCAGACAAGCGGAGGGGGGAGTGAAGGATGGTGGTGATTTGTCTTCGTGGCTGGGAGAGGATGCGGATGGGGAGAGAGCTGGGGATGGGGGTGCAAGTGCAGGGGAAGGGGGGCCCAGGTTGAACGAGCTGCAGGCAAGTGCTGATGGTTCGAGAGGTGGCAGTGGTGATGCTGGGGAGGGAGAGAGCACAGGAGAGGGAGTAGAGGGGAGAGCAGGGGAGGGAGGACCAGGTGTGGGGACTGGAGTGTATGCAGCTGGGCAGGAGGCAGGGCGTGGCATGGGAGGAGGAAGAGGTATGGCAGGTGGAGGAGGGGGGGGAGAAGGGGGAGGAGTGGGTATGGAGCAAGAGAGTGAGAGTTTTGAAGCGGCTTATCAGCAGTGGCAGAGCCAGAAGAATGTGGAGGCGTGGTTGGAGGACTAGGTCTAGGTGAGGGACACAGTACTCTACATAGCGATACAGTATAGTGCAGTACATTACAGGATGGTTGTTGTAAGTATGTGTATGCATTATATGCGTAGATTTTGCCATTGGCGTTGAATTGGTGGCGATGAATGAAACTATTCACATTTGTTCAATCACCAAGAATGAGCAAAACCTGTCACATATCAGACAAACAGTGGCAGATTTTCCGCCTTCAGTTGCAGATTTTTTTCGTTTCAGTTGGGACTCTCTTATTAACCAGCAACAACTACACCTGTTGCTTGTACCCTATCTTCATCTCAAAATTCATTGTTACACTCACATTAACACATGGTAGAATGCAGCCATACTCTAGGAATGTCCAGCAAAAATTTCCACCTGTAGCATAGTCCCCCGCCACGCTCACCCCTCGTCCTCCACCATCCCCGGCACATAGGCCAGCTTCACATCAAACACAACAGGCGCATTTGGCAGCACAACCCCCTATCCTCTTCCCCCCACGTTTCCAGCCGTCCCCTTTCACTCACTCCCCCTCTATCCACCTCTCACTCCTCCTCGTCCTCCTCCAGCCCCGGCACATAGGCCAGCTTCACGTCAAACACAACGGGCGCGTTGGGCAGCACACGCGGACGCCCAGGCGCTGAGGCCAGGCCCTTGGGGAAGGCCAGCTGAAAAGGGAAGGGGGGAGGTGGGGGAGGTGGGGGAAGCAGGGGAAGCAGGGGGGCAAGGGGAGCAAGGGGAGTTGTGAGAAAGCGCCGAGTATCAGATAACGGGCATAAAGACTAGAGTAGAGTGGTGGATCTCAGAGGTCATTCAGTTCCTTGCAGTGGACAGGACGAAGCTACCTACTCAGAAACACGCAGCGGCCGAACAGGTGTAACTCAGAACACACACGTGTTCTGTTTTTTGGGCCGCTGACGTTTCTGGTCACACATCTCACACGTTATCATGCCTCTCCCAAGATGTAACATCACCTCTGTAAGGAATGAGTAATTCCTTACTGAGGCTTGCTACAGGGCGTACGACTCGAACAGTCCCGAACCAGTGCTAGGGTTCCAGACCTTTCAGTTCGAGCCTCCTGGGCCTTTCCGGATCTCGCTACGACACATCGAGGCCCTTCGACACATTTCCCGAACCTTCCGATCCTACGTCCAGGATCACCCTAGGCTTTCTATATATTGTATTGTCTTTCATTTTATTGTCATTCACTCATTCACAGTTTCGCCATTGCCCTCCGCGCTACTCGGCAGTCCCATTCATAACAACCTCGCCAGGGATGTAACCGTAGCTGCCCAGAGATGTAACTATACCTGCCCAGAGATGTAACTGTACCTGCCCAGAGATGTAACTGTACCTGCCCAGAGATGTAACAGTACCTGCCCAGAGATGTAACTGTACCTGCCCAAAGATGTAACTGTACCTGCCCAGAGATGTAATCGTACCTCTCCAGGGATGTAGAGTCGGCGCAGCCCACCGACTTTCATGGTGAGAATGCCCTCATCCAGCCCTGCCACCACCTGATGGCGGGAGAGAGGAGGGGTGGGGCGGGGGGTGAGACAGGAGGGTAGGATGAACATACGGGTGCATGGTGGGACGTTGGGCACTTGAGGCGCCTCAAATCTCATGGAAAGAATGCCCTCATCCAGCCCTGTCACGACTGATGGTGGGAGAGATTAGGGGTGGGGTGGGAAGGGGGGTTGAGACAGAACGGTAGGGTGAACATACACGGTGGCACGTTGACCACTTGAGGCACCTCACAAGTCATAGTATGAATGCGCTCATCCAGCCTTGCCACCACCTGACGATGGTAGAGAGGAGGATAAATACAAACATGGGCCGGTGAAGGATAGACAGGAGCACACCAGGCATGTTGGGCAGAGCACACAGAGCACACAGCACTCACAGAGCTCACTGGGAGTGTCAGAGCGACGTGAGGAGAGCAACCCCTCCTCACTTCGCTCTGTCACTGGGAGTGACAAGCGTGGGGGCGGCGGGAGATGGCAATGCTTGGCTGACGATTCCAAAGCGATATTGCAGCAATTCTACAAAAAGGAACTGACTTTCACATGGGGGCATTTTATGATAGCATTTGAAACGGAAGGTGCCTGCTTGTCATGCCACTTGAGCGCACTTGAAAGGTTTTCACATGTTTTTTCCGTGCCAGAAACACTGCATTGGTGGTGGTTTGCCTCACATTGCAGAAAAAGCAAGCACACTCATACACAAGCCCTCCCCTCCTCCCCCCTCTCCTCCCACAGCCCCCATAGTCCCCCCCCCCCCACACACAACACGCGCGCACCTGGCCTGAGCCGACGCGGAAGATATATGGCATCCCCTTCTCAAGAGAGCTGCAAGGGAGGCATGCATCGGAAGGGCGCGGGCAACACGAGTGACAGAGGGAGGCAGGGAGGCAGGGAGGGAGGGAGGCAGGGAGTGAGGGAGGCAGGGAGGGAGGGTCGATTCTTGAGGCGCCTCAGACGTCGACTCATCACATGAGGGACAGCGGGGATAGGGGCAGCAGGTGGGACGAGGGGCACGCGCGAATGGACGAGGCTCGCATGTGGGAGGGGAAAGGGGGGGGGGGGGGAGCAGGAGAGTGGGAGGGAGATGGAGGAGAAACAAGCAGCAGAGATCCTCTGTTGGACGGATGGATGGGAGCGAGGGCATGGCAGCAAGGCGAGGTTTGCTGAGGGTGGGGAATGCGGGCAAAGTAGGACTGGGACTGGGGGTGACCCGGCGAATATTTCCCCGGATGGCACCAAGGCGACGTAGTCTGCCACCACCTGGGAGGGAACAAGCTTATGGGCTGACTCAATGCTTTAGACTCAAAAGCAAGGGTGAGCAATGTGGGCATTGCGGGGTGGGCAGCGTGGGAGGGACGGGATGGGAGTCGTTTGAATCGACTCAAAAGTTACCTCCGGATGGGAGATGGGAGATGGGAGATGGGATGGAGACTGGCGAGGCAATCACGTGGCGAATATTTCCCCCCGACGGCACCATGGCGACGTAGTCTCCTGCCTCTTGGAAAGCCAGTTATTGAGACGACTGAAATACATGGGGTCGGCATTGTGGTCAGGACCACGTGGGACGGGACGGGAGACTGGCAATCACCTGGCGAATATCTTCCCCGACGGCACCATGGCCACGTAGTCTGCTGCCACTTGGAAGCCCACAGGCGGCGACGGCCCTCGCCCCACCACTATGTCCCGGTACTGCAGCCCCGAGGCAGTCGTCTTCAGGGGGATCTGGCGGGGAGAGAGGGGAGAGAGGGGAGAGAGGGGAGAGAGGGGAGAGAGGGAAGAGAGGGGAGAGAGGTGAGAGAGGGGAGAGAGGGGAGAGAGGTGAGAGAGGGGAGAGAGGGGAGAGAGGGGAGAGAGGGGCGAGAGGGGAGAGAGGGGACGGATGGGCGGGGGAGTGGGGGGAAGGGGGAGGGAGGGGTTGAAGAGAACAGCAATCGTGGCACTAGCCCACCACGATGTCCCGGTACTGCAGTCCCGAGGCGGTCGTCTGTAGGGGGATCCGAAGGGATGGAGGGAGGGGAGGGAGGGAGAGAGGAGATAGAGGAAGGAGGGCAGAGGGAGAGGGAGAGGGGGGGATGAAGTGAAACAGAGTGGTCACCAGGATATGAATCTTCACCTGGTGATCGTGGGGTCTTCAATGTGTTCTGCCCACCCCCTCTCCCCCCCCACCCCCCCGCACGCCTTCTTCAACGCACATACACACTAGAGCACAAGAAAGTACCACGCACCTACGCTCTCACGCCCCCCTTTCCACTCACGTCGTCCAGCGTGGCCTCGCACTCGGCGGAGCACAGCTTGAGCTCCTCCTCGCTCTCCGTCGGAAGGGCCATCTCTCCACGACTACTCCCTCCCCCCAACTCCCAACTCTCCCCTTCCGCCCGCCGCCCCCTCCCTCTCCCCGCTCCCCTCCTCCCCCCCCCCTTGCACACCCCCTCCCTATTCCCCCCCCCCCACGCCCCCTTTTCCACTCACGTCGTCCAGCGTGGCCTCGCACTCGGCGGAGCACAGCTTGAGCTCCTCCTCGCTCTCCGTCGGAAGGGTCGTGCGCGGGGCCGCCATGGCCTCCGGGGAGAGCGAGAGCGAGAGGGCCAGAGCGGCGGGCGCGGCGGAGACGGCGAGCAGCAGCGAGCGGCGGGAGACGTCGCCGTCAGACGCGGGGGTGAAGGCCTTCGCGGCTTCTGCTGGGGGAACAGCGGAAGGGTAAGGGGGGAATAAGGGGAGGAGGGATGGTGGACGAAGGAGGGAGAACGGAGCTCGTTTGTGAGGACTGAAAGTGGAATTCTAAATGGAAGAGAAAGGAAGTGAAAGGAAGAGAAAGCGGAAAGCGCATGGCACCAATGCTGTTGAGAATGTCATTTCTGGTAAAAGAGGATTAATTGCGAGGAGAATGCTCTGGTAAAAGACAAACTGCGTGCGGTTGAAAAGCAGGGAACGCTCTGCCTGCCTTCCTCACCTACCTCATTCCTCTCATTCCTCTACCCACTGACCATTCCCTCCTCCTCACTCATCTCCCCCTCGTCTCTTGCCATTCCTTCATGTCCCCTTTCCCCATGTCTCCCCCTCTCACCTGCTCGGCACAGCCTGACTCATCGCAGTGAAAAATCGACTGAAAAATCTCCATTCCTGCATTGTCTCATCCCAGTGTCTCCCCCGCTCACCTGCTCGGCACGGCCTGACTCGGCGCTGCGAGGTGCTGGCCGCAGCATGACGTGTCACGTGCGCGCTTTCTGGTCCCGACCACGACACGTGGAAGCAACGAGAGAGCACGGGCAGAAAAGAAGAGACAAGATGAGAAAGGCATGCATGAGTAACGGGAGCACGACGCGAAACTATCACGGGAGCTCGGAACAAAAAACCACAATCATGCGAACTATCAATAAGAAACGCGAGGACTTCGAGGAACTGTAGGCGCAAAGCCTAGATGCATTCACACAATCCACAGGGATCGAGAGCTCGAGGAACGAAAAAGAAGAAAAGACAATCATCAGGTAATTCGAAAGACAGCTCTTTCCCACTTGCTGCGGCTGTTCAGCGTCGCATGCGTCGTCTGGCTGTGCATGTCCATCTCACCGGATAGCGACGACGGAATGGCCTGCGCGCCGAGCAGGCGCTGCGAGGATGACACGAGTTGGGCCGAGGCGCAGGCCATGACGGAAAGCGTTCGAAAATTAGTAAAAAAGCAGAGGCTGGGACTGCAAGCAGCTGAATGGCCTGGGAAGTTGATGGAGGATGCACGCACACGGGAGTCGGGACAGCTGCTGCGACTGAACGGAATTACTGACTGGGAGGAAATGTCCGAGCAGAAATGTCACTCGACCAGGAATGGGGAAATTCTTACGGCATGGAAAATACCGACAGCGAGGGGGAGGGAGCGGGAGGGGAAGGGGACGCGCGGAGTTCTCCGAGCGGGGGGAAGAGGGGAAACGCGGAGGAGGTACTGGGGCGCGGAGAAAACGGTGGGGGGAGGGATTCAGGAGTTGGGGGAATCTCGGGGAAAGCACGACAGTGAAGCTGCGGGGGAAATTGGGAACGGGAAGGGGAAGGGGGGGTTCGTGCGGGGACGTCGCGACGGGAGGTGGTCTGTCAGTGGATGAGATTTATTGATGACACGTACATTGAGCCACGTCGACAGATTGCACGTCAGCAGGGAGATTGTTTGTGGGAAGAGGGGGTGCTTCGTGGTTCCTTTCATGGCCAAAGATCTGGTGACTGGCGAAGTTATGTGGTCGCATCTTGTCGCCCAGTGGAGAGGCTATACCTGCCGTGCTGCCCCCTGGTTGCCAGCCTTGGTAACTGGCGACTTCTCGGCGAAAGAAGAAACACAATGTTGTGTACCCCATATAGCACATTGAACAATTGTAACAATAACCTAGATATACATAGCCGCGTAATTCCCATGTAAGTGTAGCGCCACATCCTCTATAACTCCCAAACACGTTAGCCCTACCATTCAATACCTCATCTCACCTCTAGTAGCAACATAAAAACCTTCGACACCACGCACTCAGATTAGCACCCCTACAAAATGGTCAAAGCAAGATACACAACCTACCACACAGTGGATAGCACATTCCTCACCAACAACTAGTGCTCACCAGCTGCAACATTACCAGCCAAACCTTAAAAATCTGATAGCATCAAGCCTTTTGTCAACCCTTCAGACCTAAACTACTTCTCATCAGCACAGCAGTTGTTCCTTCTCACTAATATCCCTCTGCTCCTGCAACCCTCATGCCTGCTTCTCTGGTCCCTTGTGTTTCAATTCGACCGCAACCCTATTTTCTTTGCGAAGGGCAGAAGGCGCATGACTGTGTGACTGTAGAACCGGTTGTGGCTGAGATGATCCTAGGGCTTGTGCGACACAGCGTCACCCGACTCTTCTGCGTAACCAGAAACGCAGTGCCCTGTGAAGGGGCACAAGGAAAGGAAAGGAAGAATAAAAGGCGCATAGATTGCACGCGGAGTTAGAAAGGCAAGCAGCAGGCGTGCAGTTGTAGGCAACGCACAAGGGGAAAAGGTGAGGAAATATGGGAGGGGGGAGGAAGGGAGCGGAGCAGAAGCAAGGGAAGAGGGGGAGGGGGGAGGACGAGGGAAGAGGGGGAGGGGGAGGACGAGGGAAGAGGGGGAGGGGGGAGGACGAGGGAAGAGGGGGAGGGGGAGGACGAGGGAAGAGGGGGAGGGGGGAGGACGAGGGAAGAGGGGGAGGGGGAGGACGAGGGAAGAGGGGGAGGGGGGAGGACGAGTGAAGAAAGGGATGGGGAGGATGGAGTGAGAGACAGAGGAGGAGGAGGAGGAGGACGTGTGAAGAAAGGGATGGGGAGGATGGAGGAAGGGGGGTGAAGGAAGGAAGGGGGGTGTGAAGGGGGCAGGAAGAGCGGGGAGAGAGGGGGGGAGAAGGGGGAATGGGAGGGAGCTGATTTGCATGCTTACAGGGAGCGTGGCATTATTGTTGTACCAAAGCACACTGCAGAGCGCAAGCTTGGACGCATCCGTCTGCATCGCACTTCCCGCCTGGAAAGACAAACACGAAAGAGAAAGGGGGGGGGGGGGGAAAGCAGCAGCATCAGCAGCCGAACAAGCAGGAGCAAGCAGAGTCAGGTACTACCTACAGCAAGAACATGCCACCTGGAGCAAAAAGAAGGAAGAAATAGGGGAAAAGAGGGCCTAGGCATGGACTCTTTCTCTTCGAGTCTTTGAGCCGACTGCACAATACACGTAACCTACCCCGGCCAGGTTGGCGAAGAACTTGGGTCGTCGGAACACTCCCACCGACCCCATAATCAGCGACACCGCGCCTCCCGCCGTCGACGCCTGGTTGCGGTGGAAAATACAATAGTTTGCAACCACCCCCGCGCGCAGCGCGCCGGAAATCGCGCCGCCAAACCCAGCGAAGTTGCGGATGAAGTGGCACGCGGTCGCGTGGAGGCTCCCGCCCGAGTTGACCTCGATCGCGCCGCCGGACGCAGTCGTGCCGCCGATGCCGTTGAAGCGGAAGTAGACCTGATTGAGGATCGCTCTGCCGCCGTCTAGGATCCAGATGGAGCCGCCACTGCCGGTCTGCGGGCGGCCGCGGGAGAGCAGCAGGCCGGTGAGACGGAGCACGCCGCCCTTGACGACCATGAAGTGACGGTGGCGGCGCTTGCCATCTAGCCGGCAGAACTTGAGCTGGGATGATGGGGAGGATGGGGAGGAGAGTACGGAGGGAAGGGACGTCAGGAGGTGATGCGAGGCGGAGCAGCGGGGGAAAGATGACGAGGAGGGCGACGGGGGGAGAAAGAGAAGGAGAGCCGAGATGCGAGAAGCAAGAAGCGAGGCCAATGGCGCGGGAAAGGGTGACACGAGTGCAAAGGGAAGGTGCGTGAAGCGAGAGCAAGGGCGAGGGCAATTCCTTTGGGGCGAGCGTGTGACAGGGATGCGGGGTTCCTCGACTTGGAGATTGTGAGTGGGAGCGAGACGAGAGCAAGTTCGAGAGCTAAGGCGCCCGTACTTATTGTGTGTCGCCCTAGTGTGTGACGCGCGCGCGCGTACCTCGGTTTTCCTGCAGGCGGGGTCGGCGGAGATGGTGAGCGGACGGGAGACGTTGGGCAGCGGCCCGTCGAGGTAGAACGAGTGCGACACCACGATCGGCCCGCCCGCCTGCATCGCCACCACCAGCTCCCTGTACGTCGTCACCTTGAACACCGCAGCTGCCGCTGGCACTGCCGCGCTCACTGGGAGGAGACATGAGGGAGGAGGGGGGAGGGTTAGGATGTTAGTGAGAAAGTGAGGTGGGGTCAGGTCACGACGGCATCGCCACCACCAGCTCCCTGTACGTCGTCACCTTGAACACCGCCGCCGCCGGCACCGCTGCGCTCACTGGGGGGTGGGGTAAGGGGGAGGGGGAGGGATGCGGGAGAGGGTGTGGGAGAGGGGAGGTGTGAGGGGAGACGGCATCGCCACCACCAGCTCCCTGTACGACGTCACCTTGAACACCGCCGCCGCGGGCACTGCCGCGCTCGCTGGGGGGAGGGGGGGAAGAGAGGAGATGTTTGGGGAAGGTGGAGTGGGGGGGTGTGGCGTTCTACCACCACCAGCTCCCTGTACGACGCCACCTTGAACACCGCCGCTGCCGGCACCGCCGCGCTCACTGGGGGGGGGTGGGGGGGTGAGGGGAAAGAGGAAAAACTTCAATGAGAGCGGGAGTTGGCCCGGGCCTGCCGCCACCAGCTGCGCAAACCACCCCCCACGCGCAACACCGCCACTGCGGTGGAAGACGAGTGGGCGCGGGGCGGGTGGGCGGGGAGAGAGGGTGTGAAGGGGAGACGTTAAGTCGAGGGGAGGGAAGCGGGAGGAAGGGGGGGGGGGAAGCACCTCTCACGGCTGCTGGTGGTATTACGGTGGCTGTGATGGAGAGGAGGAAGGTATGAGTCTAGAGTGCGGTTTATACGTTATTCCGAGACGGAAGAAAGCCGAGAAAAAACGTTATTCCACCCGTTTCATCCTTCCGCCCGTCCTTACAATACTTTCACTTCCTTCACGTCTTCCCAAACTGCCTCCTCCGAATCTGCACGACTCAGCACGAGCTGCTCAACCATGGATGTGCATACAATGGACGGTACGACAAGGTAGTTCGAATAGAACTAATCCATCTTCTAGTTACCGAGAGGAGATCGGCTGGAGAAACCGACTAAACAAAAACTCAGGCTACGAAGGCCTAGCTTGCCTGATTTCCGCTCGGGCGTATAAGAGACGGGCGTACCTAGCAGGAGCGTACCTGGTAGGAGCGTACCTGGTAGGAGCGTACCTGGTAGGAGCGTACCTAACAGGAGCGCACCTGGTAGGAGCGTACCTGGTAGGAGCGTACCTGGTAGGAGCGTACCTGGTAGGAGCGTACCTGGTAGGAGCGTACCTAGCAGGAGCGTACCTGGTAGGAGCGTACCTAGCAGGAGCGTACCTGGTAGGAGCGTACCTAACAGGAGCGTACCTAACAGGAGCGTATCTGGTAGGAGCGTACCTGGTAGGAGCGTACCTAACAGGAGCGCACAGGTGATGAAGAGCATCGCAAGAGGCGCCGTGCTGCAATCCAAGGCGGGACGACGGAGAGGCATGGCCGGACCTGCTATGGAGGGTCGGTAAGCACGGGTGGTGTGATTGTAAGGTGTGAGTCTGTCTGTGAGCGGCGTAGGCACAGGGCTCTAAGGGTTGCAGTAGCGGCAAGGGGACGGACGGAACAGGGTAAGTGGCAGAAACCTCCATGGGTTTGACATTAAGTTTGACACATGCTATTTCGTCGCAGGGAGGTTGTCGCCTGGTGTGTTTCTCAGGTCCCGGACCGATTTGGAAATATTTTTTTCCACAAGCCCGGGTGAGCGTGAGTGATCAGAGCGAATGGCTGGTCGAGAGTGCCCAGGCAATTCGAAGCCGGAACCGGCGAGTCGAGTCCTTGTCGTCAAGAACGAAGCGAACAGCGGAAGACAGACGACGCCTGACCCTGCATAGGTGACGTTTGAGTCCAGTCGCAAGAGCGGAAGAGGACTTTAAAATTTTCTCAGAGACGGACCTGCTGTGAGGCGCTTGGACGTCTGCTGTGATGGTGACGCTCGAAGTATTTCTGAGGTACTTGTCCTTGAACGAGCTCCACGAGAATCTACGATACTTCGCCGTATGCCTGGCAAGGGAGCACGGTTTCTAGAGTAGTCTTCTTCCCTACTTATAAGCCGAAAAAATGATCGAGGATGACGAAGAGCCGTTACGCCCAGTGAGACAAACGGATGACAGGACTCTAGGAATAGTACGCTATCAAACTGTCGGAAGCCAGTAAACTGGTTCACCACTAAACCGCCTCGCCAACTAAACGGAAAGCCAGAAACCTAAAAACGATTCGACTCGTCTCCAGAATGGCTGATCGAGCAGCAAGAGGAGGAGCCAACCTACACGGTACACAAGATCAGGATCAGGGTCAGGAAACGGAGAATCTAGGGAGAGTATTGAGTAACTAGTAACTACCTAGGGAGAGCTGGGGGCAGGAAATGTGAGTGAGATTGAGATTGAATTCCCTAGGTTGGGTATGGAGGGTGCAAACAAGCCTCGGGAGTTCCGGAACAAGCAGGTTTGGAATGACGCAGGCCCGGTTGAAGGTACGGAGGAGCGATGGCTTGGTTCGGGCGACCTGGGAGCTGCTCGAAGCCTCAGGTTTGTCGCGACGGCGACAAGGGACGCATCAAGCGCGGACACAGCCAACACCACCAAGAAAGACGGCGGCGCCTTGCCTGGCACGGCAAGGCCCGCGCAGAAAGCGGTCTTCGTGCCGAACCTGGCTCTGCCGAAGGTCATCCCATGGTTGCGGCGTGATTGTGGCTCGGAACGCTAACTTCGGTGAACTTAGGTTCGGGGCTGGTGGCACAAATCACGACACCGTCATGTCAATTCCCTTGCCGAAGCGCTGGTAAAAATCCACCAATAATTGCATTGACTCGAAGACACCAACTGTCACCCTGATTGGTGCTCGTTTTGGCTGCAGAGTGTTTCCTCCATGTTCCTACCAGCTTATGTATACAATTCCAAACAAAACTTTTCGTTATTTCAACAAAATTCGACACACCAGCCAAGTCCCCTAAATTTTCTACAACCAGACTAACCTTGGGTGGAGGTTAATATTCACTTTCTGATTCTGCAGAATCACAACTGGTGCCTCTTACAAAAACATGCTTCTCGCAAACCACCCGTTCTCGCAAAAAGTGCAAGCCAAACTATCTGTAACCCAAATGACAAGCATACTGTAATTGAATTGCTACAGCATCCCACCAGCTGATAGGCATAGGCAATAATGGTTCAAGTACTGATCCCGGCAACATCCAGTGTAGCAGCATTATCCAGTGGGACAAATTCCACTTTAGCTGCACATCCAGTCAAGCACCATCTCGTTGTACCACTGTCCACCATCCACTGTAGCTGTACCATCCAGCATGGCAGCACCATCCATTGCAATGAGTCGGCATGCCCCATAACAATGCCATCCATGCCAACCCCAGCATGGCCTGGCACAAAGAGCATGCCATCCATGCCAACCCCAGCATGGCCTGGCACAAAGAGCATGCCAGCCATGCCCACCCCAGCATGGCCTGGCATCCACCCCATGCAGAGAGCAAGGGTCAACCATCAGTGTTGCTGGTCTTAGGAAATCCGGGTGCCCTTCCAAGGGACTGGTTCTGCCCTTCCCCACCCCCGCCAGGTGACACCACTGCTGGCCAGCCAATGGTGCACCGACAGAACCAGTCCCGGTCCGGCCCGGTTGCAAATTCTCAGCCAACACCAAGGGTTGTCCCCACACTCGTGCATGGCCATCCCGCATGCCACATGCCACATAAGCCCCCTTCCACTCGCCACAGCCACAGCCACAGCCACGGTGCCTCCAGCAGCCACGTCCACCCCATCCCATGGGTGCCTGGGAGGGGGGGGAAGGCAAGGGGGAGCCAGAAGTCAGTACCAGCCATGGAAGGAAGCAGAGAGCAGTCCAGTGACTGAAAGCAAAGGAGTGAACATAAAAAACCAGCTGATGACTGCAGAAAGCAAAGGACAGCCAAGGGGTGAAAACTGGCTTCGAAAGATTACCTTGAGATGCTTCGGGCCTTAGACTTGGGCTTAGGCTTGGGCTTGGGCTTGGGCAGGGACTGAAGGCCGGACCTGCATGGAAGGGCAGGAGGTGAAACCAAGGTGAGGAAAGAGAACTACCGAGTCCAGGCCGGAAGCAATCAAGAGAGCACAAGAGCCAGAGGCAGAGAGGCGATACTCACAGGTGGTTGGGATCGAAGGGACCCCTGCCAGTGCTGTTGGCAGGCACCTTCATCCAAGCTTGGAGCGCAGTGCAGGATCCTACAGAAGAGCGTGTGGGTTGAGGAAGCATGCCTGCCAGCTGGAGGAAAAGTGGGGCCGGGGCAGGGAGGGGATGAGGAGACAAGGGAGAGAGTGAGTACAAGACACAAGGGAACATGGTGGCTGAGGAGTGGCATGGGCATGGGGTGTTGTGAGTATGCTGCTGTGCTTACCACAGCTGCCACCAGAGGCAAGTACCAAGAGAGGAGGAGGAACCTGAACTCACCAGAGGCACCTGGAAAAACACCTGAGGGGACACCTGTACCTGGACCTTAACCAGTACCTGAACCAGGGGGTGGCTCTCTGTGGAGTGTGGTTTGACCAGCAGCAAGTTGCATGATGCCATGGATGAGGGGCGGGGGTGGATGCATGGCATGGCATGGAGAAAGCAAGAGAAAGAAACGAACAGAAATCGACTTGATGAAAGAGAGAAAGAACGGGCCAGACACTTATATTTTTGTGCATCGAGTGCTGTGTACTGCTGCTGGCACTTGCTGCAGTCCATGCACTCCCTCCACCCTGCCACTCGTTGCAGTCCAGTCCCTTCCACCCAGCGACTTGCGGTCAGCTGATTCTGAAGAAAGCACCTGCCAGTCAAGGGGAAGGAGAGAGCGATTGAGTCTAAGTCCCAAGAAAACAAGGGGGGAGAGTGCGAGGAGGAAAGGACAAAGAGAAGCCGAAAAGAGGTGGAATCAGAGACATGATACTCACTCTTGGTGCAGGGTCTTGAAGCAGGGTGCAGGGACTTGAAGCAGGGTTCAGGGTCTTGAAGCAGGGTGCAGGGCCTTGAAGCAGGGTGCAGGGCCTTGAAGCAGAGTGCAGGGCCTTGGAGCACAGTGCCTGTCGCACAGTGCTTGGGGTGAGGGAAGGGCGGAGGGGAAGTGAGTGCAAGTCACGAGAGGACATGGTGGATGAATAGTATGAGCATGGGGCGGAGTGAGCATGCTGCTGTGCTTACCACGAGTCAACCAGAGGCAAGTACCAAGAGAGGAGGAGGGACCTAAACTCACCAGTGGCACCTGAAAAACACCTGAGGGGACACCTGAGGCTATACCTTAACCATACCTGAACCTGAACCTGGGGGTGGCTCTGTGTGGAGTGTGGCTTGACCAGCAGCAAGTTGCATGATGCCATGGATGAGGGGCGAGGGAGGGTGGCATGGCAGGGCATGGCATGGCGTGGCGTGCAATGAAAGATGCTGAGTGAACAAACTACAAGCCATGAAAGCAACAACAGGAATCGACTTGAAGAAAGAGAGAGAGCATGGACCAGACACTTATCTTTCCGTGTGGATGTGAGAGCTGTGCTGTGCTGTGCTGTGCTGTGGTTGCCACTCGCTGCAGCCCCTTCAGCCCCTTCCACTGTCCACCCTGCCGCTTGCTGCCAGCTGCCTCTGACGCTCAGAGAAGAGCACCTGCCAGTCCAGGGGCAGGGGGGAGGGAGAGAGCGAGTGAATGCAAGTCCAAAGAACGTACCAACAGAGCAGGACATGGGGGATGAAGAGTGGTATGTATGAAGGGCGGTATGAGCATGGGGCGGTGTGAGCATGGGGCGGTGTGAGCATGTTGCTGTGCTGACCACGACTCCACCAGAGCCAAGTACCAGAGAGGAGGGACCTGAACTCACCAGAGGCACCTGAGCACCTGAGGGGCGACCTGAACCTTTACCAACCAGACCAGGGGGTGGCTCGAGTGGGGTGTGGGTCCGCAGGCAGCATGGTGCATCGAGCATGGATGACATGGCGGGCCATGCAGGATGAGAGATGCCACTGCAATGAAATTTGAATAGCCTTAAAACGAAGAAAGCAGGGTTAAGGAGCGAGGCGAAAACTTAGCTGGTCATGGCGACTGGGTAGAAGGGCGACGGCTCCCTTCTGCCAGCGCCTCCCTTGGCACATACGGCTTCGCGCTGAAGGTCTCCAAAGGAGTTGCAGGCGATGGCACGTGCTAGGGCGCTCAAATCTTGATGCTCCCATGGGTCTTGGGCGTGCAGAGGGGCCTTCAAGAAGACCCACGAGGAGAATGAAAGTGAGTCAGTAGATGGCGTGCAAAGAAAACAAAAACGTTCTTCACAGCCAAGGGAACGAGCGTAGGAACTCCACAAGAGCTGGGTACCGAGGAAATACCTTAGAGCGGCTGCTCCTGTGCTGCCAGCCTGCTGCCAATAATCCTTAGCGCAGCCATAAAACTTGAAAGTGCAGAACGGCGCTCAAGGGGACCTGCCAAGAGGAGCAAGAAAGAAGGTCAATGAACGTCCATGCGAAAAAAAAGAAACTTGCAAAGCGACAAAGCGAGGTCGTGAGTACTCCACAAGAGCCGGGTACCAACGAAATACCTTACAGGGGACGTGAACCGAATCTTTACCAGCACCAACCTCAACCGGGGGGGGGGAGGCTCTTGTGGAGTGTGTCGGGTAAGGGGCGATACTTGCAACCTAAACCTCTCCAGGTGATGGAGCTGCTCCCGTGCTGCCAGCCCGCTGACAGTAATCCTTGGCGCAGCCATAAAACTTGAAAGTGCGGAATGGCGTCCAAGGGGACCTGCCAAGAGGAGCAAGAAACTAGGTCACTGAACGGATTGTGCAAGAATAAAACGACTTGCAAAGCGACCAACTGGGAAGGCGAGGGCGTGAGAACTCCACAAGAGCCATGTACCAAGAAAATACCTTGCAGCCGCTGCTCCCGTGATGCCAGCCCGCTGACAGAAATCCTTAGAGCGCCATAAAACGTGAGAGTGCAGAACGGCGCTCAAGGGGACCTGCCAAGAGGAGCAAGAAAGTAAGTCGGTGAAACGACCGTGCAAGAAAAAAAACGACTTGCAAAGCGACAAATCGGGAAAGCGAGGGCGTGAGAACTCCACAAGATCCGGGTACCAAGAGAATACCTTACAGGGGACCTGAACCGAACCTGTACCAGTACCAACCTCGATCGGGGGGGGGGGGAGGGAGGGAAGGCTCTTGTGGAGTGTGTAGGGTAAGGGGTGATACTTCCAACCTTATCCTCTTCAGGTGATGGAGGTGCTCCCGGGCTGCCAGGCTGCTGCCAGTAATTAATCCTTAGCACCGCCGTGAAATTGAGAGTGCAGAATGGTGTTTAAGGGGACCTGTCAAGAGGAGCAAGAAAGTAAGTCAGTGAAAGGACCGTGCAAGAAAAAAACGACTTGCAAAGCGACCAATTGGGAAAGCGAGGGCGTGAGAACTTCACAAGAGCCGGGTACCAAGGAATCACCTTACAGCGGCTGCTCCCGTGCTGCCAGTCCGCTGCCAGTCATCCTTGGCGCAGCCATAAAACTTGAGAGTGCAGAACGGCGCTCAAGGGAACCTGCCAAGAGGAGAAAGAAAACAAGTTAATGAGACGACCGTGCAAGAAAAAAAACGGCTTGCAACGCGACATATTGGGAAAGAGGGCGTGAGAAATCCACAAGAGCCGGGTACCAAGGAAATACCTTACAGTGGCTGCTCCCGTGCTGCCAGCTTGCTGGCAGTAACCCTCAGGGCCGCCATAAAACTTGGGAGGCAGAACGGCGTTCAAGGGGACCTGCCAAGAGGGGCAAGAAAGGAAGTCAGTGACAATCGTGCAAGAAAAAAACGACTTGCAAAGCGACAAACCGTGAAACGGGGGCGTGGGGGGGGGGGGAAGGGCGTCGCATCCAGGCCAAGGAACCAGCACCTCGAGATCGAGACTGACGTCTATGCAGACATGCAGACGGACTGACTGGCAGACGGCGGCTAGCGACGCTAAAGAGAGTGTTAACCCGACTTAGAGAAGAGACACAAGGAACCCCGAGGGTGGGCATTGGGCTGGAGCGACGAGAAGCGAGATGCATGATGCAGAAAAATAGAATTTCAAGTGACGACGGAGGAAAGAAAGAGTACTTATCTCTGCGAAGTACTCAGCAGCAGCAGTGAAGCTCCAGCAATTGAAGTTCGTACAAGATGCCATGGGAGGTTCAGGGCCGCGAATGTTGACACCAGGCATTGAAGTTCGTATCAGACGCCATGGATAGGACACGGTCGTATCATCAAGGTGATAAATGTGTTCGCCAATGATCCGTCCTGCACATCAGACAAGCGAGCTAGTCAGAGGGAGGACGAAATTGCAGCCTATCGACGTGCTTAATTAGAAAGCTTAAGAAGGTGGCTTACCTTCTGAAACACGAATTGCCATCGGGTATAGAATGTTAGATCCTCAATTTGAACCTTTTATCTTGGAAGTTGCACACGTGAAAGTCAATATAAAAAAGAAGAATGCAGATGTTGGATAATCTTGAAAGAAGGCATACAACGAACACAAACATCAGTTTTAATATTGCAAGAGATGAATAAAATTTGAAAGTAACGGATTGACATTTACTTACTTGCACAGGCGCGAACCGTTCGTTGCATCCAACCGCGCGTATTCCGCAGCTTCAAGCGTTAAGGGAAGCGAGCGGCTGCACGAGCGAGTCTTCTGCATATGTTGCATATCTGACGGCTGTGAAGTCTTGCTTGAAGCCCGCCATAAACGGCGAGAGCCATGGTTGCATATCTTGCGAATCCACCTGAATAAAAATACTAAAGGATGGTAGAGTTAGTCAATGGAGAATAGCCAAACAAACTGCCTGAAAAAAAAGTGGACCAGTAGTAAGCGTCTCTTACTTGCGATCAGCAGGAGTGGTTTGTCGACAATGCTACGAAGACGGTGCTGAGGCTTCAACCTTGAACGAAAGTGCGTACGGCATCAGCAGCTGAGGCCATCAGCTGAGGCCATCAGCTGAGGCCAGAAGCTGAGGACAGTAGCTGAGGACAGTAGCTGAGGACAGTAGCTGAGGACAGTAGCTGAGGACAGTAGCTGAGGACAGTAGCTGAGGACAGTAGCTGAGGACAGTAGCTGAGGACAGTAGCTGAGGAGAAACGCTGAGGAGAAACGCTGAAGAGAAACGCTGAAGAGAAACGCTGAAGAGAAACGCTGAGGAGAAACGCTGAAGAGAACTGTCTGATAAGAGAAGCAACGCTGAAAGTGAGCGTTGATGTGGACTAGCAGAACTATAAATCGGAAACTGAGTTTTGAGAATCGTGGAAAAGAGAACTGCCTGAAGGCAAGCGTGATGGGGTTGCCAAGCAAATGTGGGAAAGAGGTCCAGCCGCCGCGACGACGGAAGGGAGGAACGCGCCGTGACTCCCTATCAAAGAGGGATCAGCGGCGGAATATAGAGCGGCGACGTGTCGCTAGGATCAAAATATTGTGAATGAGATTGGAAGTAGGGGGGAGGTCTCTGACGGAAAGCGGCTGCGAGTGCGGTTTGGCTGGAGGGAAGCTTGGCTTGGCTGGTGGTGAGTGGTGAGGAATTTGGCTTGGCAGGAATGGCAGGAAGTAGAATTTGGCTGCTGTCTTCGGCAGCAGCAAGATTGGAGAAGCAAGAGCTAGGCTTGGCTGGGAGAACAGCAGCTGTGAGGGAAGTGCCTGTCAGGAGGAGCGGCTGCGGGAATTTGACAAGCGAGTGGTTCGCGAATTGACGAAGTGCCGCATTCTGGGTTCGCCTTCGTTTCGTCACGTTCGTCATTCTCGTCACTCCCTAGAGTGTCGCGGTGCGGCGGACAACGGGCGACTGGCGCTGCGGGGCGGGGGACATTGTTCCGAGCGCGCTAGGGGCTGGTGGTATTGTTGGCAGGAGCGAGTGGAAGATTTCGAGGGATCTCGTAACTCTCGCTTCATGCACAAATGAATAAAGAAGTCCAGCTCATGTCGCTGTTATAGTACCAAGTGTAGTTATTGAAAAATTAAGTGTCCTCCTTGGGAGACAAACAAACAAAAACAAAATATCAAAGGTATACTAAAAATTGAAACCAGATGCTGTACACTACATAAGTCACCAATCCAAGGTCTTCATTGATCTAGTTATGCTTAATTCATGGGCACTAGTCTTACATAGGGCAGTTCAGGTTTAAAAAGCATCGCAACAACGCAAACCACATTAGCAAACAAGCATCGTTCATTCACTCGCTGCAAAAGTCGCACTGATGAGGTGGGACTAACGCACTAGCGAGCCCGTAAAGCCCATCAACACCCGCACCTGCAGCACCTGTAACCCTGCCTCCTACTGCACCACCGCACACAAACCTGCTGCTCCTACAACAACCATCCCCAGAACCACCGTCACCACTTCTCACACTATCGCATGAAAGAAGCAAAGCACACTCGTCAGACGACAAGCCACAGCCATCCACCTCCAGCACACCACCATCGCCTGCCCTGCCCCTTCCGACTCCGCCATTGCTGCTGCCCATGCCACCACTGGCAGCTCGAACACTACTGCCAAGGCAGCAGCAGCCAAATCCTGCAGCCTCAGCTGCAATCCGCAGCTGCAGGAGAGCTTCTGCCCTCCAAGAGGGACTGCCTGGAGGAAAGGGGTTGGGGTGGTCTGACTGTTCCCCTACTGCTGCTGCTGCTGCTGCTGGTGGCACTTGTGCTGCTGATTTTCCCCTAGCTGCTTCATTGTCCTGCTTTGGAAGAAATTCCACCCCATCAACCCTCCCTCTCTTTTTTCCACCCCCTGCCACCCCTATCCCCGCTCCAGCCCTTATTCCTCCTTCTGCCTCCTCACACGCTTCACGAACCACAGGAGCACCAAGAGGAGGAGCCACAGAAGCTGCAGCAGCAGTGTGCGATGCGGATTCAGCAGCAGCAGCTTCAGCAGCAGCAGCAGCAGCAGCGTCAGCACCACTGGTAGTTTCATCTCCCACTGGTAGTTTCATCCCCCCGTACATCCCTTTCATAACGTCCTCCTCACACTGGTTCAGCCACCATTCTATCTCTGACTCCCTTTGCTTATCCTCGCTCTCCTCCACCATTTCCACCTCCGCCATTTGGCCATGTCTCACATCGCCTGCGGCCTCAGCCCCTGTTCTCCTCTCTTGCTGCTGCTGCCACTGGTACTGCTGCTGTGGCTGCTGTGGCTGCTGTTGTTGCTGCTGTTGCTGGTGCTGCTTCTGCCGCTTTGCCGGCTGCCGAATGTCCTCCGGCCGCTCTCGTAACAAGGCGTTACGACAAGGGCTTACAGCAGAGCAAGGCGGAGCGTGCACAGCATACCTAGCAGGAGACAATACAGGCGAAGGCCCCGTAAAGGAACGGAGAGGAGCTGTGGGAAAGGCACTCGCGGCACTAGGCGGCATGCGGTGTGGGGAGATAGGAGGGATGGGAGGGGAGGAGGGGAGGAGTGGAGAGGGGGAGACGTGGGCGGAGGGAGGGGCGGAGGGAGGAGGGGTGGGAGGGGAGTTGGGCGGGGGAGAGAGAATTGGGTTGAAGGAGAGGCGGAGGAAGCCAATAGGGCAGTGGCGGGGACCTGTGAAGGGTGGAGGGGAGGGAACGGATGGTACAAGGACGTGTTAGGAAGCCTCGTCCCTCACTCTCACTCACTCCTAGTATCCCTCTCCCTCCCATCTCATCCCCCTCCTATCTCCCCTCTCTCCCCTCCCCCCCCGCCAGACACACACATTCCCACGCACTCACACGCACATGCACACACACCCCTGCACGCTCACCTGCCATGGCTTGTAGCAGTGCGAGAGCAGAGGGGTGGTGCAGGGTGCAGCGTGAGACGTCCACATGCAGGAGGCGGCAGAGAGGGGACGCCAGGTACTGCAGCAGGGGAAGGAGGGCCTGCAGTGACATGGGGAGAGCCATTGTGGTATGCAAAGGGAAATTAAGACGGCTCAAAAAGTGTGTAGTCCCCTGTGGTACATGCACGAGGCGACAGACAGGAGTTGAAAAATTGTGCAGCAGAGCAGTGGGGATGAGGGGGAGGGCCTTTTTGAGAATTCTCAAACACACCCTGCAAAATTAGGGGAGGGCCTAGTGGAGATGGGGGAGGGAGGGGGGGAAGCGGTTTTAAAGAGGCTGATGTGACGAAAGCAGGGGGAGGCAATGGGGTGAGGGGAGGGGAGGGGAGGGGAGGAAAGGGGAGGGAAGGGGGGAATGGGCGCGGATAATCCAGCGAATCCAGAGAAAACTTGATATGACACAGTGACGCGCACAGGAAGAAAGGAACGGACAGGGGTGGAGAGGAACGGACAGGGGTGGAGAGGGACGTACAGGGGTGGAGAGGTGAGCCCCTGAGAGGCTGATGTGACGGAGGCGAGGGGAGGCAGGCAGCAGCGCATGCAGCATCACAGCCATGGCGTCAGAGGGGTGAGAGGAACGAGATTGAGCGGACACTGCTGCTGCTGCTGCTGCTGCTGCTGCTGCTGCTGGTGAGGGTGCTGCTGTTGCTCCTGCTCCTGTTCGTGTTGAGACAGCATTATGCAGGGAATTCAATAGGGGAGAGGCGGCACTTGCCGCCGCCGCACCAGGATGTGTGGGGGAGCGCTGGTGAGCTGCCGCTGCTGCAGGGGATGCATGCGATGGCAAGTGCGTAGGCAGCGGTGGTGGCAGGTGAGAGGGCCAGTGGGATGGCAAGTGGCGTGCATCGGGAGAGGCAGGCACGCTGGCAGGAGGGGTGATGGGCGCAGCCGAGATGAGGGCACCCGCGAGGTCTAGCTGCTCTAGGTGGAACCTCACTGGCTGTAGGGTTCCAGATGCATGCTGCTGCTGCTGATGCTGCTGCTGCTGCTGCGGCTGCTGGTGCTGCTGCGGCTGTTTCTGCTGAGAGTGTCCATGAAAGGGAGGTGCGATTTCCATCAGCACTTGCTGGAACACCAAGGCAGACGGCTGCAGAAGATACGGAGGGTGCGTGTGGGGCGGGGTGGGGAACGTGGGGGGTGCGGGGCGGGGGGGTGTGGGGATGTAAACAGAGAAACGTCAGAAGAGAGGTGGAGAGATGGGTGATGAATAGATGGGTGGGTGAGACGTGGTATTGGGCGAGCCTAGACTAGATATCATGATGTGACCTGGCATGACACGCATGCAGACAGTCATGTCAGCGATTTTTGAGTCGACTAAAAAATCGACTCATTACGCATGCAGACAGTCATGTCAGCGATTTTTGAGTCGACTCAAAAATCGACTCATTACGCATGCAGACTGTCATGATAGTCCATGTCATTGCACACGGACTGTCATGTCAGCGTGACCCCCCTCGCATGGAATCTCTAACCCCCATCTCCTTCCATCCTCCCCATGACCCCCCTCCCTCGCACATGGAACCTACATAATTAGTAATGCGGTGCATCAAATTCGACTTACCAGGTAGCTTTGAGGTGGCTCAGAACTACGCACCTACATTATTCTGGCGCCTCAGATTGGACTTACCGTTTTCTAGGCCCGTACCACAGACCCAGTCGAAAACAGGCATGTGGCACACGCCTTCCCATTCCTAAACCGACTAGAATTCTGAGGGGCCTAAAAAGTCGCCAGTCGCCATTACAGTGAGAAGCGCCGTGCCATTGGGAGAGGTGGAGTGCCAGAAATGGTTTGGCGCACCTCTGGATGGGAAGGAGGTCTACCTCACACGGTTTGAGAGGGCCCATGCGACGTAGATAAGTTTTCCACAGGTGAGAAGGGCCGTGCTTACCAGCGAAAAGGTGGCGTGAGGGAGGCGCAGGGAGCAGAGGCGGCGGCAGGAGAGGAGGAAGCGAGCAAAGGCAGCTGCCGCTTGGGGGGAGTCGAGAGGCAAGCGGGGGAGAGAGAGATCCTGGAGACTGTTGTGGGGTGGGGGGGGGGGGGGGGAAGAGATGTGAGGGTATCAAGGTGCCTGAGAAACAGAGTTGACGACAGTCAGACGGTTGAGAGATTAGTCCTGCAAGGGGGGTTGAATAGGGCCTATTACAGAGGTGCTTAAAAAGAGCCTATTACAGGGTTGATAGGCAGCGAGGGAAGAGAAAGAGCCTGCAGATTACTGCAGGAGGAGGGGGGGGGGAGAGGAGGGGGGGTCAAGGGGTGCAAAGAACGGAAGGGGTGGAAGGTGGAGAGGGGGAGGGGGATGTTTGAGGCGCCTCAAAGAACGGAAGGGGTGGAAGGTGGAGAGAATTTTTGAGGCGCCTCAAAGAACGGAAGGGGTGGAAGGTGGAGAGGGGGAGGGGGATGTGAGTGGGGGAAGAGCAAGGAAGGGGGGTTAAGGGGGTAAACGGGAGACGGGGGGAATGGAGCAAGCGGGAGACGTCGTAAGGCTGGAGAAAGGAGCCGATTTTTTAGGCACCTCAAAAAGAGACGTTGTAAGGGCTGGAGAAAGGAGCCGTTTAAAGAGAGTGGGGCGCCGTGGAGCCAACTTTCATTGTATTGCAGTGGCCCAGTGGGTGTACTTTTGAGGCGCCTCAAAAATAGACTCCTCATGCGTGGGTGCAGGCACTCGTTCCACGTTTGATTGCGTTGGTCTCCGTAGATTGTCGGCAGTCTATTAAAAAAAGGAGCACGCATGTCTGGAGTAAGCAGTACCGAATGAATGGGGGGTCGCTAGGAAATCGTGAGGAGTCTATTTTTCAGGCGCCTCAAAGGTAGCTAGGAAGTCAGGGTATCCCATTGCAAGGTGAGGAGACCGAGGGGGAGGGGGTGTGAGATGGGGCCATGATGTGGCAGGCATGAGGGGGAGAGAGGGGGTTAGGGGGAGAGATAGGGGGAAGACAGAGGAGGGGAGAGGGGGAAGACAGAGCGGAGGAGAGGGGAAAGACAGAGGGGGGAGAGCAGGCATACAGTGGAAGGCAGGAGAGCGCGGAGAAGAGGCGATTGAGTGCACTGATGGACATGTCCCTGCAGCCGTCTGGGAGGGGCATACATGGATGGTCGGGGGGGGGGGGAGGGGAGAGGGAAGAGGAAAGTAGGGTGGGGTATGAGGCGCCTCAAAAGAGCGCGGAGAAGAGGCGGGTGAGTGCACTGATGGACTCTGCGGGTGAGTCCCTGCAGCCGTCTGCGACGAGGTGCACGGTTGGGTGGGTGGGATGGTGGGGTGGTGGGGTGGTGGGGGGGTGGGGGGGGGGGGGGGAGAAGAAGGGGGGTTTGTGAGGCGGAAAGAGGGAAGGGGGAGGAGAAAAATAGGGTGGGCCACGAGGCGCCTTAACAGAGGGTGGAGGAGAGGCACGTGAGTGCTCCAATGGACATGCCCATGCATCCGTGCGGGAGGGAGACACGGGGAGAGGAGAGAGGGAGAGGCAAATTGAAGCAGGGGAGAGGAGAGAGGGAGGGCAGATTGAAGCAGGAGAGAGAGAGAGGGAGAGAAAGTCAGGAGAGAGAGAGAGGAAGAGAAAGTCAGGGGAGAGAGAGAGGAAGAGAAAGTCAGGAGAGAGAGAGGAAGAGAAAGTCAGGAGAGAGAGAGAGGAAGAGAGAGTCAGGAGAGAGAGAGAGGAAGAGAAAGTCAGGAGAGAGAGAGAGGAAGAGAAAGTCAGGAGAGAGAGAGAGAGGAAGAGAAAGTCAGGAGAGAGAGAGAGGAAGAGAAAGTCAGGGGAGAGAGAGAGGAAGAGAAAGTCAGGAGAGAGAGAGGAAGAGAAAGTCAGGGGAGAGAGAGAGGAAGAGAAAGTCAGGAGAGAGAGAGAGGAAGAGAAAGTCAGGAGAGAGAGAGTGGAAGAGAAAGTCAGGAGAGAGAGAGAGGAAGAGAAAGTCAGGGGAGAGAGAGAGGAAGAGAAAGTCAGGAGAGAGAGAGAGGAAGAGAAAGTCAGGAGAGAGAGAGAGGAAGAGAAAGTCAGGAGAGAGAGAGAGGAAGAGAAAGTCAGGAGAGAGAGAGAGAGGAAGAGAGAGCCTGAGTCCCTTCCTCCCTATTTAAGGCCTCTCCCTGCCTCATTTTCCTTGTTCAGTTTCCAGTTATTCTTTTCTCCTACCCTTGGTGGCGGGAGAGAGGAGAGAGAGAGCGAGAGAGAGAGAGCCTGAGTCCCTTCCTCCCTATTTAAGGCCTCTCCCTGCCTCATTTTCCTTGTTCAGTTTCCAGTTATTCTTTTCTCCTACCCTTGGTGGCGGCTCGCGTCGGCGGCCTTCGGCCGCCGACGCTCGCGGCGCGGCCTACGGCCGCGCGGGAGGGGGTGGCAAGTCCTGCATTCAAATATAGCGCATCAAGTACACGGCATGCATGATGGAGCCCCTCCATCTCTAGCCTAGGACCAGAAGGGCGTAAACAACATCGGCCTACAGGGCCCCGCTGTGGCTTACACAAGCACACATGGAGCACCTGATACGCCGAGCGGGGTCACTCAGACTGCAGGACTCACCGCCCGGCCGCACCTACTCCCGCCGCCCTGCTAATCCGCGACAGCCGCCAGCCCGGCCTCCTCCAGCAACTCGGCCTGGTACGACAACAGGACCTGCAGCGTGGACACGGCGCCAGCTACAAGCCCTGCAGCTGACGCCGAGTCTATGCTCGCCGACACCTGGCGGAGAGCGGCGAGAAGGTATGGGTCCGTGCCTGTTCCCCGGGCGGGCCCGGGCCGCGCGCGTGCGGCCTCCACAGCAAGATCTATGGCTGCTTCCATGCAGCCCTGAAGGGGGAAGTACGGGGCCATTGACCGGCCCCCTGAGCTCCCCAGCGCGGAGCTCGCCGCCGCCAGAATCGTCAACAGTATCTCGGTCCCCCTCCGAGCATGCCCAAGGCGACGAAGTGTGGCGGCTGGGACCGTTATCTCCGCAAGAGCCGCCGTCAGTTGCCCCACCGTCGGCGTGCTCCTCCGTGTCGCCTCCCCGGCCCCACGAGCTCGACGTGGAGACCCCTCCCCTGGCGACTCCGCGCCCCCCGTCTCCGCTGCTTCTGCCCCCGCCTCTACACCCCGTGGGGATGGCGCCCGCTGCCGAGGGGGAACGAACGGACCAACCACACCCCCTCCGCGGTAGAGCCCCACCTGGGGATCGGACCACTCCACCGCCCCAGCCCAGGACGAGGGGGGACGCCACTCCGGGAGTGTACCAGCGGATGACGCGGGGCTGCCTATCTGGGGCGCTGGCAGGGACCGGTGGTGCTGGTCGTAGTACCCCGGGGGTGGGAGGACCGGCGCGGGTACAGGCGGCGGATGCGCAGCGGAGTGCAGGGCAGCATACGGGCCCCCAGGCGGCAAATGCTGCCACGGAGGCAGCGGCACAGTTGGGAGCAGCGCTGCCGGAGGCCGCAGCGGAGGGGGAAACGCTCCATCACGTGCAGGCTGGTCGGGGAGGGTCGGTGGAAGGACTCGCGGCGGAAATAGAGGCTGGGTTTGATGGGGGAGCTGTCGGGGCGGCTCCCGCTGCGGGGGCGATGGGAGCAGCCCAGCGCCAGCCCGCTCGAGTATCCCCTCCAACGTTGCGGCAGTCCGCGCCAGCCGTCTCTCCAGTGCGCTCCCCCTCCGCCCCCGGCGCGTGCCACCACGCCCCGAGGGGCCGTTTGGCGCACGCGGCTGTTGCGGATGGGGCCGAGACGGCAACACCGGGGGGGGGCGAGGGCCCGCCGCATGGGTTTCAGCAGGCGTCGACAACTCGGCCGGAGGACACTGGCGGACCTCTACGCCCGCCACCGCAGCCCGCCCCTCCAGCCGAGGCGGCGTCGCCGCCCGCATCCGACTGGGGGACGCGGGCGCGCTTGTGGACGGCGCTGGGAGCCCGCGTGCCCACCGCCGGTCCGTCAGGGGGGGGGAGCTCGACCGACCTCGGGGGAGGGCGTTCTCCCCCGAACTCTCGCGGTCGACGGAACGCTCTCTCCGAGCACGATCAGCCCGGTCAGCCATCCGTTTCGCCGATGCGCCCTAGAGCGGGCCCAGCGAGGCAGCGTGGCGAACGTCCGCCTACTCCACGCTCCGCTGCACGGGGCAGCGCCACGCGGAGGGGACGCGGCGGAGGCGGGGATAGCGGAACCAGGGGCCGAGGTAGTGGTGGGCGCGGGGGCGGGCGCCTAAGGACAGGCGACTTGGAACGCGACGGCGGCCCGCTGAATGGCTTCCAGCAAGCTGCGAATAGGGCTTTAAGGGAGATGGGACTGCGGGAGGCAACTGACGAGGAAGAAAGACGAGATGGTACTTATATCCAGGATTCGCACATGGAATCTACCACAGACGAGTCCAGTGGCGCACTGGGGGAACGGGCACCGAGGCGGGTGGGGAGCGCGAATCGAAACCCCTCTCCCAGATCCAGGGGCTTCGAGCAGCGGAGCCCACCAGCTGCACACGCGCTGGACAATCCCTCCCAGGCAGCCAGGCAATTATCCCCAGAGGAACTGGCCCGCGATGCCTCACGATTTGCCCAATTAGCCAGCTGGGATATTGCGGTGTTGTGCGACAGTCGCCAGCCCCCTCTTTCAAGGCGACTACCCCCCACTATTCGCCAGCTGTTCGCGTTAGCCCTGCTGACGCCCCTCCTTTTTCTCGAGAAAAATCCAACCTCAATCGGGGGCTGGCGGTTGTTACTATTTCTCCCCCGCCTAACTCTTCGCATGTCATCGCCCAAACGCCCGGACTGGCCAGCGATGGAGATTCGCCTACGGCAGTTCCTCGCGGGCCAGTGGGACGCCCTCTACCAGTCAGCAGCTGCTGCTGTCGCCCTGCCCGCACCCCCTCGCCACGTTCGTGACGACCTCGGGAAAATCTCCCGAGCTGAGGGGCTGGTGCGAAGAGGCAGCCTTCGCCGAGCCCTGCTGGCACTCCAGTCAACCCCAGTCAGCGAGTCAACCCCGGAGGTTCTTGACTCGCTGAAGTCCAAACACCCGAGGCCGTTGACCGAGGACCTCACGTGGCCCTCTCTGGACGACGTCAACCCACCGACGCTCGACTTCGCCCATTTCATTCGCCTACTTTCGCGTAGCGAAAATGGGGTGGGCGCCGGTCCTTCGGGGATGACGTTCGAACACCTGCGGGACGCCTCGCTCACCAATCCGCACGTCGCTAAGCTCCTACACGAAATTGTGCAGCTGCTCCTCGCCGGTAACCTGCCCCAGGAGGTCAGCGGGCTGTTAACCGCGTCACGTCTACTGGCCCTTCGCAAACCCGATGGCGGAACACGCCCCATCGCCATCGGCGAATGCCTCCATCGCCTTACCGCCAAAGCAGCCCTCATCTCAACAACTCAGCCCGCACAAGAATACTTTCTGCCACTTCAGTTCGGCGTCGCAATTCGGAGTGGCGGGAAGGCAATCATCCACGCCACTCGGGCTTTCACCTCCGCTCGCCCCAGCTCTGTGATCGTCCAAGTGGACCTCACTAACGCGTTTAACAGCGTTGAGCGGGGGGCAATCATCACCGCTATCGACGCCTCGCCCCTTCGTTCGCTGTTACCGTTTATCCGTTTCTCCTACGGCTCCCCCTCGCTCCTCTACCTCGATGACGGTTTCGCCAGCCCCCCACTCCAGAGTGCACGGGGCGTTCGACAAGGGGACCCCATGGGCCCCCTGCTCTTCGCCGCGGCCATCCACCCCGCGCTCCAATCAACAGCTGTCGCCCACCCCGACGTCCTCTGTCTAGCCTACGCGGACGACGTGACGTTCGTGGGTGATCCGGCCGCCTGCACAGCGGCCTTCCACCACTTCACGGGCGCAGTCGGGGCCATCGGCCTCACGCACAACCCCTCGAAATGTGGTGCGTGGTCCCCCACCCCTCCCCCGCCCGACGCCATTCCCCCGGACGTCCCCTTCCACAGCGCGGGGCTACGGGTGCTGGGGAGTTTTGTCGGGACAGCGGAGGGCTCAGCTGGTTTCCTCCGCGCCCAGCTGGCCTCGCTGGCCGAACCACTCCCCACCATCGCCTCCATGGACCCCCAAACAGCGTCGCTCCTCCTTACGCGCTGCATCTCGCGGCGGGTCAGTTACCTGACCCGCACCACGCCCCTGGATTTTCTCCCACAACCCGAGTGGTCGGAGTGGGGACGGGGGCTTTTCCACACCCTCCTTCACGCGTGCAACCTCCAACTTCCTCGAGGGGAAGCCGAACGCGCGCGCACCTGGGCCCAAGCCTCACTTCCGCCCTCGCTCGGCGGGCTGGGCCTCTCCGATCCTGCCATTGAAGGCCCCCCAGCCTTCCTGACCAGCGTCACCCAGGCGCAGCACCTCCTCGCCGCCCTGCCAGCAGCAGCCGATGGGCCCCTGGCGTCCGCACTACGCCCCCTCACCCCCCCCTTCTCCAGCCCCAACCATCTCCATACCTGGCTGGCGGGGTGTGAGGCAGCCATGCCGACCCGTGCACTAGAGCTCCTGCGCTCCGAACGCCAGGAACCATCCGGAAACCCCCTCCAGCACCGGCTCTCCCTAGAAGTCCACGCCGCCCGATATGCGGACCAGGTGGCAGCGTCCCGCGGGATGGAGCTGAACCCCAGCTCCGGCCACACCCAACGTCTGTTCTCCCTTGCAGGCTACGGGGCAGGGGATTGGATCCATGCCATCCCCATCTTCCCCTCTCTCCGCCTCGGACCACCGCACTTTGCCATCGCCCTCGCCTTCCGCCTCGGCCTCCCTTTCCCAGCCCCACGCAACTGCAACTGCGCAGACGAGACTGAGATCCCTGACCCCCGGCTGCCCAACCACCTCTTCCGCTGCGGCACGGGACATGGCCGGACAGACACCCACAACGCACTCCGCGATGAGTGCATTCGTATGGCGCGAGATGCCGGGTTCATCGTTACCAAGGAGACCACTACCTACAGCCCGGTGGACGGCCATAAGGCCGACCTGGCCATGCGCGACAGAGACTCCGGTGCCGTCTGGATCTGTGACGTCACTGTCACGGACCCCATCAGCACCCGGGACCCGCACGCACGCAAGGGGCGGGGATATATGGCCCGGGAACAGGCCGATAAGAAGATTGATCACTACCGTAACCGCGCACCTTATGTTGGCTTCTTCCCCTTGGCCGTGGAGACCTATGGCTGCCCCTGCGCCGAGGTCCCCAGCTTTCTGAAGCTCCTGGCGGACACAGGGGCAAGGCGGCTTTTCAACGCGGACCCGAGCTCCTACCAGGCGGCGAAGCTGCTGCATCAGTTCCGCCAGCGCTGGTCCATCACGCTCCAGCGGGCACAGGCCCTGGCCTACCTCGGAAAAGTCAACGAGGCTGCCCCGGCAGAGTACCCCCCCGTGGGTACCCCTGACGCCATCATGGGCCTAGGGGACTGCTTTGCCATAGCGGAGCCCCTCGGGGAGCTCCAGTAGTCCGGCTGCCCATCCCCAGCATGCACGTACCTTCGATATGGTTTGAAGTCTGCCCACTTGTTTAGTATGTACCACGTTCTCAATCAATACATGGACCGTTTGAGAGAGGAAGAGAAAGTCAGGAGAGAGAGAGCATGAGCGAGAGAGGAAGGGGAAAAGGCGAGAGAGCAGAGGAACAGTGCTAGTGCATGCAGAGCGGATACTGCAAGAGGGACAAACTTCCGGAGGGAGCGTGACGGCAGAGACCGTTGTAGAATGGTGGAAAGAGGAGGGAGCAAAGAGCGTTCGGGAAAGGGGGAGCAGAGTGCAGTGCACGTTGGCGTGTGGATTCGACACATAGGGAGTTACTGACGCTCGCACGATGTAAGGAAGGGGCATGGACAGGAACACACAGGGCGCGAGAGCATTTGAGTCGACTCAAAAGGGCACACACACCGAGAGAGATACGCGAGAGAGGAGGCAGGGCAGCAGCAGCAGCTGCTGCTGGTGATGGTGGTAGCAAATGTGGTGGTGGTGAAGGAACAGCTGCCTGGACTGGGGATCGCGGTGCGGCTGCTGGTGGTGGTACTGGGGCTGCTGCTGGTGGTGTTGCGGTGGATTGCAGAGGAGGAGGGGAGTGGTTGGGCGAGGCGGGAGGAGAGAGTTTGAGAATGGCTCTGGAGAGGAACGTGGGCGTGTGTGCAGCATCAACGTCAGCCCGTAGCACAATGGACGACAGGGCTGCAGGAAGGAACGAAAGAGTGGGAGAAGGGAGAGAGGGAGGCGAGCAAGAGACGAGTGGGGGGGGAGTGGGATGGATGGGTTGTTGAGGCGCCTCAAAACAACACAAGGAGGGAGTGCACACAACTTCCATGTCAGCCCGTAGCACAATGGAGAAGGGGGGGAGGAGAAGGGGGGAAGGAGAAGGGGGGGAGGAGAAGGGGGGGAGGAGAAGGGGGAAGGAGAAGGGGGGGAGGAGAAGGGGGGGAGGAGAAGGGGGGAAGGAGAAGGGGGGGAGGAGAAGGGGGGAGGAGAAGGGGGGAAGGAGAAGGGGGGAAGGAGAAGGGGGGGAGGAGAAAGGGGGGAGGAGAAAGGGGGGAGGAGACCGCGGAATGGGAGGGGGGTGGAAGGCGAACTCTCGATTTTGCAGGGTGTTTTTGCAGGGTGTTCTTGAGGATTCTCAACAGCACAAGGAGGGAGCACGATGATGGCCATGCTGCTCTCACGAGAACACTCGAAGCAAGTCCCTCTAAGTCAGGACTCAGGACGACCTATGGTTCACAGTCAGGGTCAGAAATCTGATTCCGTGGATTTCACTTTGGCGCATAGGGTTTCGGGGTTTAAGGTTTGGCATATGGGGTTTCAAGTTTCGGGGTTTCCGGGGGGTTGAGGGTTTAACGTGGGGGTTAAGGTTTAGGCACGTACAAGAGCAGCGCAGCAGCAGCAGGTGCAGGAGGCCGGTGGCCCAGCTGTTGTCGCAGCGCAGGGCGAAGGCATGGGGGATCCAGGGGTTTTGGGAGATGTCAATGTGGCTCAGATGCGGCAAGAAAGGAGAGCTCGAGGTGAGCTGTTGGGGGGGGTGTGGGGGGGGAAAGGGAGAAAAAGGGGGGGGGGTAGAGAGGGGGGGAGGGAGAAGGGGGGGTCATGGAGACAGGGGGAAAAAGGGGGGAAGGGAGATGGGGAGAGGAAAGTGCAAGGGGAATGGCTTCTAAACTGATTCAAAGGAGGCATGGGCGATCCAGGGGCTTTGCGAGATGTCAATGTGGCTCAGATGCGGCAAGAAACGAGAGACCGCGGCGAGCTGTTGGGCAGAGTGGAGAGGGGGAGGGGGGGGGGAGCGGGAGAGGGAAGGGGAGAGGGAAGTGCAGATGATGAATCTTGAAAATTTGTAGAAGTCTCAGGACTCAACGAGGCCATGCGGATCCAGGCATGTGGGCGAGCTTGATTTGGCTCAGAGTGGTCAGAAGGGAGAGGGGTGCAGGTAAGCAACGGGTGGGGTGGGGGGTTGGCAGAGAGAAAGGGAGACGAAAGTGAGGGCGAGGGAGAAAGACTGAGATTTGAAACAGGCAGAGAGAGGACAGGCAGGATGTTTTTGAGAATTCTCAAAAACACCCTGCAGAGACAGGACAGGCAGGGACAGGCAGGGACAGGCAGGGACAGGCAGGGACAGGCAGAGGGGCGACTACAAGGCATTGGAGGGCCTCATTGGCGATGCGGTTGGTTGGTGTGCAGGGCCAGAGCTGTACCTCTCACGTGAGAGGTACTCCCAGCAAGCCCTAGCTCACAAACCCCCCAGACAGCTAGAGACAGCCACGGACAGCCAGAGGGGCGGGCGCTTACAAGGCGTCGGAGGGCCTCATTGGTGATGCGGTTGGCGTGCAGGTCTAAAGCCGGGCCAGAGCCGTACCTCTCACGTGAGAGGCACTCCCAGCAAGCCCTGGCTCACAAACCCCCCCGGCAGCCAGAGACAGGTAGGGAATGCGAGGGACAGCCAGAGGGGCGGGCGCTTACAAGGCGTCGGAGGGCCTCATTGGTGATGCGGTTGGCGTGCAGGTCCAGAGACAGCCGAGGCGCAGAAAGATGCACATCCGCCAGGGGCGCATACCCCAACGCTGCTGCCGCTGCTGCCTCTGCTGCTGTCTCTGCTACTGATTCTGCTACTGCTGCTGCTGCTGTGCTAGTTGCTGGCCCGGAAAAGGCCGGAAAAGGAAGAGATATGGATGGCAGAGCGGAGTGCTGCTGCTGCTGCTGCTGCTGAGGATTGTGCTGCTGCACGTGTGGCGGGTTGTCGTTGCCGGGCTGGGAGGGGAGCTGTTTCTCGAATAACGACGCGATTCGCAAGAGAGATGAACAGCCTGCAATTTCGCAACACGCGAGCAGCGGATGGATGGATTGGATGCGGATAGGTACACATCAGAGAAAACGTGACATGCGGTTCTAGGGCAAGTTGTTTCTGCCCTAAAAGCGCATGAGGAGGAGTGAAGGGGTCAGCAGGACCTGACCTGAGTGGAAATGAGGTGGAAAGCTCGTGATGGAAAGTGTTGGGCTGTGACTGCTCATGTGTCTTCTCGTGTGAAAGCGCGTGTGAGTTCGTGTGTGCTGGTATGAGAGGCAGTCTGCGCTGTACTGTATGAGGCATCCACACAGTACAAGTACCAGGCCCCTGGTGCCTGGCCCCAGGCCAGGTGCGAGACAGCTTTTCAGGCACTTCAGAACACCCTGTGCTAAGCTTGAACGAGCAAATGCTAGCTAGGGAAAGATTCACACTACCACGTACTAGCACACAGCACACAGCACACAGCACACAGCATAGCACTCATTCCCAGTTTGCCATGACTCATGCACTACGAACCCATACCCAGCTGGTTGTGTGAGAGGTTGAGGAAGGTGAGTGCGGGCAGTCTGGCAAGAGCAAACGCATCCAGCTATTGAGTCGACTCAAAAGCAGACTCATGTCACGCGGTTTCTGTTTCCATATTGATCACATGCCGATCACATACCCAGCTGGTTGTGTGAGAGATTGAGGAAGGTGAGTGCGGGCAGTCGGGCAAGAGCATCCAGCAGAGGCTCTGCCTGCTCGTCCGTGAGTCCCAGCCCCGGCAGGCAGATGCGCTCCAGAGACAGCAGCTGGTGGGATGGAGGGGGGAACAGGGAGAAGTGGTTGGACGGAAACGAAGTCCGCTTAAAAACACCTCAAATCGCGCAAGCTTTGCTTGTTGGTCTGTGAGTCCCAACCCCTGCAGGGAGATGCGCTCCAGAGACAGCAGCTGGTGGGATGGAGGGGGGAACAGGGAGAAGTGGTTGGACGGAAATGACGTTTGTTTATAGTCACCTCAAATCGAACAAATGTTGGAAGCAACATTCTGGATAAATTTGAAAGCATAAGCATAAAACCCAACGCTATCTTTGCGCATCCAGCAGCGGCTTTGCTTGTTGGTCTGTGAGTCCCAACTTCGGCAGGCAGATGCGCTCCAGAGACAGCAGCTGGTGCGATGCGGGGGGGGGGGAAACAGGGAGAGGTGGTTGGGGAAGGGAAAAAAAACTAGCTTCTAGGGTGGTAACCGTGTGGATTGTAACGACATGGTTATTACAGACAGTAGCAGGAACGTGGTAACTCGGTCGTGGGGTGGGTGTGTGCTGGTAGGGAGAAAAGGAGTAGAAGGGCGAGCAGTCGAGGGGTATAAGGCAAGGGGAGCAGTACTAGGGGTGAGAGAGGATAAGAGGAGCAGTCGAGGGATATAAAGATAAGAGGAGCAGTCGAGGGATATAAAGATAAGAGGAGCAGTCGAGGGATATAAAGATAAGAGGAGCAGTACCGGGTGTGAGAGGATAAGGGGCGCAATACCGGGTGTGAGAGGATAAGGGGCGCAATACCGGGTGTGAGAGGATAAGGGGCGCAATACCGGGTGTGAGAGGGCGTGTTTGATAGGCGACAAGGGAGGCGTGCCCAGCTCAGCGCACGCCAGGTGGTAGGTCTGCGAGAGAGACGGCGGTCGCCACGCTGGGTACAGCAGTGCGCACAGGGAGAAGAAGTGAGAAGGGATGAGGGGGGGTTGGTTTTGAATAAGTTTCCGAGGCTAATCAGAGGCCTGCCCAAGTGAATGCACGCCAGGTCGTAGGTACGGGTGAGAGACGCCCCCTTCCAACCGAGGCGGTACGGGTTGATAAGCACAAGGGAGAGGACAGTACAGATGAAGGGGAGTAAGATATGGGGTGGCAGTGGTGAGAAAGAGATCAGCATGATTCAGGAGCAGCGGGAGTCTCAGCAAGTTTGATTATTGCAAGATATAAATAGCTGCTCTTCACGGCAAGAACTAGCTCACTACGAAACGAAAAATAGACAGGAAGCAGCAGGCAGCAGCAGCAGCAGCAGACGTACATCAGGCTGCATGCATGCAGAGGTTTCGAAGTGCCTTAATGCATGGTGTTTTTGAGAATTCTCAAAAACTTTCCTCACGCATACCATGGATGTGAGCAACTAGCGCAGGGGAGGGGAAGAGTGTCGGCGTCGGCCAAGGGGAGTGTTGTTGCTGCTGCTGTAACTGATAAGGGCTTGAGACGGCCCAGGTCCCACTTGTGCCAGGCGCGCTGCCAAAAGCAGTGATGTGCGCACCGACACCTGTGCCTAGCGCACATGGCATGTTAGGGGTGTCGAAACTCAGCGCCACGTGCAGGGGCAGTGAGGCCGCGAGGGCGACATTGCCGAGGGAGAGGCGGCGAACGATGGGGCACTGGCCTGCAGTTGGCATAGGAGATACAAGAAACGGGGGGGGGGGGGAGAAGGAGGGGGGGGAGGGAAGTGGGGGGGGAAGGGGGGAACCAAAGAGGGGGAGATAAAGGTAAGTGGGATGGGGACGACCTGCTGTTGTCGTAGGAGCGACAGAGACGGGAGGGGGGAGATGGATATTGGTGGGGCAGAGGAGACAGGGGGTAAGAGAGCAAGCAGAAACGCCGTAAATTGGCGTGAGCTTCAACAGACCTGCAAAGGGGAAAGGGGACTGGTGTTTTTTAAGTCGACTCAAAAAACACGTCGACTCAAAAAACACGTCGACTAAAAAAACACGTCGACTCAAAAAACACGTCGACTAAAAAAACACGTCGACTCAAAAAACACGTCGACTAAAAAAACACGTAGACTCAAAAAACACGTCGACTAAAAAAACACGTCGACTCAAAAAACACGTCGACTCAAAAAACATGTGAGCTTCAACAGACCTGCAAAGGGGAAGGGGACTGGGACCGGAAGGGAGGTCGGAAGAAACAGAACGAGAGTGGGACCATTGGGCAGAAAGGGGGCGATTCGGAAGGGAGAGGGTCAGTGACGAGAAGACGAAGGAGAGAGCAGGGCAGGAGTGAGAGAGGGGAGCAAGCGTACCATCTGGGTGTAGCAGCAGGTATTCAAGCTCCAGTTGCCGCATCAACCATCCTACTGTCACCTCCTCTGCTCTCTGCACCTGCTGCTCGTGCTGCTGCCCCCCTGCATATCCCCCTGTGCCTGCATTACTGCCCGTGCTTGCGAATGGGGGCAGAGCCACCTGAAGGCAGTCTGAGCCCATTCGCACCAGCACGAACGGGGGCAGTACTGGCGACAGAGCGGGTGGAGAAGCTATACCCGCTGCTGCTGCTGCTGGTGCTGCTGCTGCTGCTGCTGCTGCTTCTGCTGCTGGTGATGGTGCTGGTGCTGGTGCTGGTGCTGGTGCTGGTGCTGGTGCTGCTCCTGGTGTTGCTGGTCCTGCTGGTGTAGCTGCTGCTGCTATGCCTGCTTCTGTTGCCATTGCTGCTGCTGCTGGTGTTTCTGGTCCTGGTGGTGCTGCTGCTTTTGCCTCTTCTGCTGCTCTCGGTGGTGGTGCTGCTGCTGTTGCCTCCTCTGCTCGTGGTGCTGCTGCTGCTGCCGCCAGTGTGGATGCTGCTTCTGCTTCTGATGCCATAGCAGCTGCTACTGGTGCTGGTGGTGCTGCTGTCGCTTCCGCTGCTGCTGCCGCTGCTGGTGTTGCTGGTCCTAGTGTTCGTGGTGCTGCTGCTGCGTGTCCCGCTGCGCCTGCTGCTGCTGTGGTTGCTGGTGGTGTTGCCAACCCTGGAGAAGCGGCAGTTGGTGCTGGTGCGCATGGCTTGGGAGCCAGCGCACCAAGCGCAGCACCCGTAGCAGCGCTTGGAGCGGCGCTGGGAGCAGCGACAGAAGCTGGGTTAGTGGCAGCACCAGGTGCAGCAACAACAGCAGCAGGAGCACGAACAGGCAGAGAGGAAGCTGGGGTGACCGGAGCACCAGGAGAATGAGCAGGCAGTGAGGAAGAGGGCCCTACACCAGCAGTACCTCTAGAAGCACCAGCCAGGCTTATGAAGAGAACTGGAGCAGCAATGGGAGCGGTAGGGGTGGCAGGAGCAGCAGCAGCTGCTGCACCACTGCAACTTCTTCCCGCTATTGCACACCCATCAGCCCCCTCTCTCGCACCTGCTTCACCAAACACTATGCTTCTCTTGGCCTTGCCGCACCTCCTCACATCTCCCCGCCTACTGCCCTCTCCCAAACCCCCAGCATCCCCACTCGCCCTATCCCTCCCTCCCTCTATCTCGCACCCACCAGCCGAGCTCTCTCCAGGCTTAGTTTTTAACCTAGCCCCTCTTCCTCCCTCTGTCTCTGTCCCTATTGGGCCCGATCTTTTAACCCCTTCTGCTCTCCTTGCAGGCAGTTCTCCTCCCCCTGCCTCTACACCTTCTCCTGCGTCTTCCCTTACTCTTTTCCCTGCCCTAACCCCAGCAATGTCTGCAATCACTTGCCTCTCCTGTCCTCGCGCCACTGCTCCTCCTCCTTCTCCCTCTGCTGCTCCCTCCACTACCTCTGCTGCTCCTTTGACTTCTCCCTTTCCTGTGTCGTCTGCTGCTCCTTCTCCTTCTGCTGCGCCTTCTCCTTCTGCTGCGCCTTCTCCTTCTGCTGCGCCTTCTCCCTCTGCTGCTCCTTTGCCTTCTCCCTTTGCTGCGCTATCTCCCTCTACTGCTCGTTCTTCTTCCACCTGTGCTGGCCCTTCTCCTCCCTCTGCTGCTCCCTCTGCTGCTCCCTCTACCTCCCCTTCTGCTGCTCCCACTGCTGCTCCCTCTATTGCTCGCGCCACAGAACGTGGTATGCCCTGCAACAAAGGCTGCATCCCAGCCCTTCTGGGAGCCCCAGCGTCTTCACCCTCCGCCCTCATCCCCGCTACAGGCATACCCGCTGCAGGCATACCCGCTACAGGCACACCCGCTACAGGCATACCCGCTGCAGCACCCCCCATGCCGTTGGCGTTGTTCCCCCCACCATCACCATCAACTTTAACATGAGCATGAGCATTGGGATCAACCCCGGGGTGATAATGATAATGGATATGTGCATGAGCATTCGCAACAGCTCGAGCGCTACCATTCCCATTGGCATTAGCATTGGCTCTCGCAGTAGCAGAGGCACTGGCAGTGGCAGCAGCGTTGGCATTACCATTAGTGCCAGTGTGAGGCGGGGCTTTGGAACGGCCACGGATACGAGCAGGAGCATGAGCATTGGGACGGGCACGAGCATTGAGGCGGGCAGGAGCACGTGGGTTAGGAGGGGGACGCGCATAGGGATGAGAGTGATGATGATACCGAATGTACGCATGCGCACTAGCGCTAGCGTGAGCATTACCATTAGCACCAGCACCAGCACCAGCACTAGCGTTAGCGTTAGCATTAGCATTCGCATTCGTATGAGCGTCAGCATGGGCATCATTCCCAGCGTCAGCATCACGAGCAGCACGAGCATCATCAGCATCATCAGCTGAGTCCATAACCACCTTCTCATCATCATCATCATCATCATCATCACGAGCATCACCCCGAGCACCACCATCAGCACCAGCACCAGCACCGGCACCAGCACCAGCACCATCACGAGCATCATCACGAGCATCATCACGAGCATCATCACCATCACCATCATCATCACCATCCTCACCATCACCACCATCATCCTCCTCACCTTCTGAATCCATTACAACCTCTTCCACCCCTCCATACCCCACTGCTACCTCTCTTCTCACCCCACCTAAACCATCATCCCCCTCTCGTCCACCCTCGCCTCTCCATTCCGCCACCACTCTACCGCCCCCACCCCCTCCTTCGCCCGGTTGATCCCCTGGCGCATCAACCACCTGCGTTGGCCTTTCCATGTCTCCATCATCATCATCATCCACATCAGCAGCAGCAGCGGCACCACCAGCACCCCTAGCAGCATTACCACCAGAAGCACCAGCAGCAGCACCACCGGCAGCACCAGCAGCACCAGCAGCAGCACCACCACCAGCAGCACCAGCGGCAGAACCAGCATCATCAGCATCAGCATCGCCAACACTAGCCCCAGCACCCGCACCATGCTTCTGCTGCTTTTTCTCACCCTTAACCGACTCACGGTGGACAGATCGTGGAGCAGCAGCAGCAGAAGCAGTAGGAGGAGCAGCAGCAGTAGCAGCAGCAGGAGGAGGAGGAGCAGCAGCAGCCGCAAGAGCAGCCGGAACGACAGGAGCAGCAGGAACCGCACCAGCAGCAGAGGCAGCAGGAGCAGGTAGATCACCAGCATCACCAGCACCACCAGCACCACCAGCACCAGCAGCACCAGCAGCACCAGCTGCTGAACTATGTAGGTGCCCTTGCTCCTCCCCACCTGGCCCTCCCGCCTCATCCTCAATCCTCTCCCACCCCACTCCTCCTCCTTCCACACCTCCCACTCCCACTCCTCCCTCCCTTGCTCCCTCCCCTCCTCCCTTTCCTCCATCTCCTCCCTCCTCCCGTCGCCCTGTTTCCCGCCCCCCTCCCCCTGGATTTCCAACCCTAACTCCTACACTCCCATGAGGCAAGAAATAATCAAGCAGATCCTCCCCTTGTGCCCAATCCATCCCATCGCCTCCCAACCCCAACTCCTCACGATCGTCCTTCCTCTCTTCCTCTCTCCTTGCATTCTCCCCCTCACCCCCCTCCCTTGGGCTGTCAACCACCTCCTGCCTGCCACTGCAAGCCTCGTCGAACGTATCTGAGTCCAGGAACACAAAAGCCGCACCACCACCACCAACACCACCAACACCACCACCACCACCACCAGCACCACCACCACCGCTGCCGCCACCGCCGGCGCCACCAGGAGCACTGACTTTCTTCCCCGGAAGAATTTGCCGGCGCCGAAAGATCACGTCCGGAGGGGAGTCCTCCGATCCATCAGTGCTATCTTCTGCTATCTCAATCACCTCCTTCGCCCCCCCTCTCGTTCCCATAACCACATCTATTTCCTTCATAACCACGTCCTGAACCCCCCCCCTTTTCACACCCCCCACACTTGGCCCATCCCCCACACTTGGCCCATCCCCCACACTTGGCCCATCCCCCACACCTGGCCCATCCCCCACACCTGGAACACCCCCCACACCTGCCAGCCCCCCCTCTTTCACACCCCCTTGTCCTGCCGAGCCTGTGGTCCCATTACACGCCACCCCTGCAGTAGCAACTCCTGGACCCTGCCCCTGCTCGGCATCACGCCTCCAACCCCCCCCACCCACATCCACTTCAACCACATCATCCTCCTCCTCCGTCTCCTCATCCTCCTCAGCAACCCCCCCGCGCGCCCTCCCAAGCCTGGCACCTTGGCCGTTAGGGGGGGAGGAGATTTCAAGGGAATCTTGTAGCTCATCCCAGCCCATCTGCTCTTGCTCCATCTGACCTTTCTGCCCCATCTGACCCATCTGACCCATCAGCCCAGAGTCAGGGAACTCCTGCTGCGGCTGCTCCTGATTTCGCTTATGCAGCCTCGAGAATCGCTGCTGCTGCTGCTGCTGCGGCTGCTGCGGCTGCTGTGGCCTTTCCTGATGCTGCTGCGCCTGCTGAAGTCTCGTCAGCCTAAGCCTCTCCGAGATGCTGAGAGCACCTCCAGATCGGCTAACACCACCTGCACCACTGGTACTTGCACCACCCGCACCTGCACCAGTTGCATCTGCTGCCCCTGCTGCCCCTGCTGCTCCCTTCACCCTTCCACTTGTTGTCTGCTCGCCTTCCTTTCCTGAGTTCTTATCTGCTGCAAAGCCCCTTGCCCTGCTTTTTACGCCTGCCCTGCCAATCCTGCCACCACCAATACCACCAACAACAGCAGTTCTGGCAGCAGCAGCAGCAGCAGCAGCCCCACCAGCAGCCAATCTTCCTCTGCCGCTGCTCAAACGAGTTAGACTGACATCGTCGTCATCCGAATCAGAATCCGCATCAGCAGCTGCACCACCAGCAGCAGCAGCAACATCAACATCAACAGCGTCGTCATCGTCATCGTCATCTCTTTGACTCGGCTCGCCCAATGCCGCCTTGGCGTCTGCAATCTTCTGCTTCAGAGTCAATACCCGCCTCTGGATCTCGCTGCATGGAGGATACCACGTGGCGGAGACAGGGGGGAAAAGATCCAGGGGTAGAACAGGAGTCCGGTTAGCCAGTCTATCCGTAGGTGTTTTTTAACACAGGTCGCCTGGTGCTGCTTTTCCCTGCACCACTTTTCCCCTGCATCCCCCACCCTCACTCCCCCTTCCCATCAAGCCCACTCGCCCACACTACCCCCCCACCCTCACTCCCCCCTCCCATCAAGCCCACTCGCCCACACTGCTCCCCCACCCTCACTCCCCCCTCCCATCAAGCCCACTCGCCCACACTGCCCCCCACCCTCACTCCCCCCTCCCATCAAGCCCACTCGCCCACACTGCCCCCCCCCCCCCACCCTCACTCCCCCCTCCCATCAAGCCCACTCACGTGGCCTTATCCATGTTACAAAGCCGCATGGAGTACACACACTGCACGTTCTCAAGACCAGTCACCGCTGCTGCACCGCCGCACCGCTGCTATACCCTGCATCACTCCTTTCCACCGCACCCACACTACCCCCCCCCCATAGACACTCACGTGGCCTTATCCATGTTACAAAGCCGCATGGAGTACATATACTGCACGTTGTCCAGTCAGGTCACCTGGTGCTGCTTTCCTCCACACCACAGCCTTGCATCACCTCCCCCACCCATATAGGCACTCACGTGGCCTTATCGATGTCACAGAGCCGCATGGAGTACATGTACTGCATGTTGTCCAGACAGGTGACCTGGTGCTGCAATGCCTTGTGTGTCAGCAACTCCCCCTTCTCCTCCGCCTCCTCCGCCACGCTGGGACGTCGAAGCCACCCCCGAGACACAGGCGCGAGCAGGAGACGCACAAGCCAGCAAGCAACAGGACGAATGGAGTAGAGATAAGGAGAATGGCAGAGGAGAGCAAAGAAAAGCAATGGCTGGAGGTGGGCAAACTATGGCATGCAAAACAAATTAGACAGCAACAGCAGCAGCAGCAGCAGCAGCAGCACCAGCAGCACTCTGCTATAAACGTCCCTCGCTCAAAACAATACTCTCCCTCCTCCCTCTCTTCAAAACAGACTCAACTAGTACCCCCCCCCCCCCCGTTTCTGCACTCACTGCAGCGCTTGCTGGTAGTACTCCAGCGCCTGTGTGTGCTCGGACCTCGCGTCACTCACATTGCCGATTCCTATCAGCGCGACACACTCGCCCTGGTGATTACGGAGGGCAAAGGAGAGATAGGGAGTGTGTGTGTACGTGCATGCACGCACGCACGTGAGGTGAGGCACACACTCGACCCGGTGAAGAGAAAGTGTGAGTGTGGGCGTGGGTGTGCAGGGAAGTGAGAGTATATCCGCGTGTGTTCGTGAGTACATGTGTGTGTGTGAGCCACCCCTTCTCCTCGCATACCTCTTTGATTTTTAGTCGGCGGTTCAACCCCAGCGAGTCATGGTACCAGCGCCACGCCTTGGCAAAATCATGCAGGTTGTAGCACGCATCAGCCATGGCCTCTGCCGCCTCGCACTGCATCAGTGTGTCCGCTGCCCTGTCGCCCAGCCGAACATACTCCTCTGCTGCCTTGAGTCGCTGCAGTGTGTGCGATAGAGATGGTATGGACAGGAATAGGCAGCGGTGGACATAACAGGGGACGCAGAGGCAAGGGGGAAGAAGGAAGGGGAGCAGCAGTGCAGGCACCACCAGATCTGTGCTTGTACAAGTCTAGGGGCAGCACATGACAGTCCTATGAAAAGCAGCTCTACTCACAGTGAGGTGAGCCTGAGCCCCTACCACTATGTCCACCAAATCCTTGAGAGAGAATGCGCCTACCTTCCATGCCAATTTTGAGTCGACTCAAATGCGCCTGTCGTCCCTGCCAATTCCTAACACAGCAAGTAAGAACCCCATAAAGAGCAGCCTACTACTCACAGTGAGGCGTGCCAGCGCCCCTTCTGCTATGTCCATCAGATCTTTGAGAATGCCCCTGCCCTCTGCAAACAGCTTCTGCCGCTCCTCGCTCGACCTGCCATACATACAGAGAGCACAGCGCAGACAGACATGCAGAAACAGGTATGCAAGGAGAAGAAACGCACTCGCGATTGCAGCGATGCCTACACACGACGTACACATGCTGCGATGGTGAGAGATGAAGACTGGCGCATACCTGGCTCGCTCCAGCAGGCGCTGTGTCTTGCAGTGCTGCACCCACAGCTGCTCTCCTCGCACCGCTCCCTCTGCCGCGCGGCCTCGCCCGCAGTCTCAAGGATGCACGCCCTTTCAACTACCCCGCCGCTCCGCCTCCTCCCCCCTTCAACGTCCCGCTGTCGCTCCCTCCATGTCTGTCCGTCACTCCCTACATCCCACGCTTCTTCTCTCACAGCAGATTCTAGCAGCACCGCTCCCAAACGCTCTCGTACCTTCTGAAACCGCTCACCTTTCGTTCTTTGCGAGGACGTGCTGTAGCAGGACATACCTGGCTCGCTCCAGCAGGCGCTGAGTCTTGCGGTGCTGCGCCCACAGCTGCTCGCACCGCTCCCTCTGCCGCTTCGCCCCGTGAACTGCCTCCAGGTTGCCCTCACACTGCGCCACTAGACTCGCCTCGTCCTCCATCTGCCGCGCTATCTCCCGCGCCCGCTCAAACGCCTGGGGAATAAGGAAAAGTCCAGGGGTTCACAGGAGTTTGGGTGGACAGTCAATGTCAGTCTTAGGGACCTTGGCCCCGTGAACTGTCTCCAGGTTGCTCTCACCTTGTGTCTCTAGACTCGCCTCGTCTTCCATTTGCCGCGCTATCTCCCTCGCCCACTCAAACGCCTGGTGAATGGGGAGAGTTTCAGGGTTTAAGAAAGGGTTTGGGTGGACAGCCACTATCAGACTTGTGGGTCTTGGCCCCATGAACTGTCTCCAGGTTGCTCTCACACTGAGCCACCAGACTCGCCTCGTCCTCCATCTACCTCGCCATGCCGCTTGCCCACTCAAACGCCAGGGGATATTACGATGGGGTTGGGAGTTGTTAAGAGTCAGCAGGGGTTTTCGAGGGTGAACGGTCGGTCAGTGACGGGCATCGGCGAAAGGGTCCCACACTACCCGCGCAGAACACACAAACACTCTCTCACGTGTACCGCTCTCTCATGGCTCCTATCAGCCCACACCAGGTACTCCGCCTCTCCATCGCGTCTTACTCCTCCAACCAGATTCAAAACCCACCTCCCTTGTTGATCCACGCCTTGGCGCCACCCACAGCATTCCCAGGCCTCTCTCAACCACACGGTCTCGTGCCGTCAACTCACCTCTGCGCCTCGTCGCATTCCTCCTTTTGGAACCTGAAGTCGCCCTTGTTGATCCACGCCTTGGCGCACTCTTGGGCGTTTCTGAGCCCATCTCAACCGCACATACTCTCCCTCTCACCCACGACTCACCCTCTGGGCCTCGTCGTACTCCTCCATTCGGAAGCTGAAGTCGCCCTTGTTAACCCACGCCTTGGCGCACTCAACAGCGTTCCTGAGCCTCACTCAACCACACATACTCTCCGGCGCGTAGGCGCATCTCGTGCTTCCAACTCACCCTCTGTGCCTCGTCGTACTCCTCCATCTTGAAGCTGAAGTCTCCCTTGTTGATCCACGCCTTGGCGCACCCCACGGCGTTGTTGAGGCGCTCGCAGATCTTGACATCCATGTCGATGTGCTGCCGCGCGCGCTCCCACTGGCACGACCGCGTGAACACGCGGCCCAGGGAGTTGTGCAGCCGCGTGCGAGTCTCGTCCACCGACCCTATCTCCTCGTCGTCGCACACCTGGCGAGGAACGGGGGGGGTGGGGGGTGGGGGGTTGGGGGGGGATAGGGGAGGGGGGTGGGGGAGAGATGTCAAAGGGGAGGAGCGGGAAGGGGGATGGAGTGGGGAGAGAGGTGGTGGGAAAGGAAGTTTGGAAGAGAGAGCGACGGGGAAACGGGGGAGGAGGTTTGGAAAGCTGGAAGGGAAAGGGAGAAAGACCTATCTTTACAAGACCTATCCCCATTCTCCACACACCCGACAAGCCCTTCCCTCCCAGCCTATCCCTTCCCTCCCAGCCTATCCCTTCCCTCCCAGCCTATCCCTTCCTCCCAGCCTATACTCTCCCCACACACCTCGAGCCCGCGACTGAAGCAATTAACCGCTTCCTCCAGGCTCTCTGTCTCTTCAAACAACAGCCCCACGTTGTTGTACGCATCCGCCAGCTCCTGCGCAAACCGCCGATCCCCCCCCGACGACGACCTCCGCCCGCCTCCGCCAGCGCCCCGGCCCGCGCGCCCCCCTTTCGCCCTCCCCTTCCCGCCGGCACGCGCGCCTGCTCCGCCGATCCCCGCCTCTCCCGCGTGCAGAACCTCCGCCAGCTGAAGCGATCGCTGGAGATACTTGCGCGCGGACATCAGCGCGCGCATCGACGCGGCTTGCTGCTCCAACGCGGCTTCGATGGCGGCGCCGCCGCCGCCGCCGCCGGCGACCGCGGGGTCCCCGCGGGAGAAGGACTCGAAGTAGGCTCGGCCGAGCTGCGTGGACGAGCGCTGCTGCTCTACCGCGTCCTGCATCTCCTTCGCCAGTTCGTAGTGCCGCTCCTGGAGTGAATCATGGGAGAGGAAAGGGCGGGAGCGGATGGGGAGAAGCGGGTCATACCTTTGAGGAGCCTCTAGCTCTAAACTCTGCTCTACCGCGTCCTGCATCTCCTTCGCCAGCTCGTAGTGCCGCTCCTGGGGTGCATCAGAGGAGAGGAAGGAAAGGGAGTGGGTGGGGAGAACGACTCCAGATATTCTGTATGGCGCCTGATGAGCTATCTGGCTTGCATCTGCCTCGCGAGCTCGTAGTGCCGCTCCTAGAGTGCATAGGAGGGAGGGAATGGGGAAGCATAGGCGGGAATCCACGGGAGGACGAAAGAGCGGAAGGGGGCCGGAACAAAGAATCGCAAGTGGTGACTGACTCAAGCCCTATAATCGAGCGAGAGAGTACGAAAGAAAAGGAGAAGATTTGGAAGGCCGGGAGCGGGCATCTCAATCAGTTACCGTTACAGCGTAATCACTGAGACCCTGGGCGGCGAATGATGCGGCACGACTACAACGAACCATGTACGAGGTGGCTTCGTGGAAGTTGTTCAGCCGCAGGTGAATCTCCCCCAGGCTCTGAAGCGTCGCGAGCAAGTCGCGCTGGAGATCGCCGTCATCCTGCGACTCGGATCGTGCGCCTTGGCCTGCGCATGGAGATCTTCTCGTCTTGACCCGTTGCTGCTCAATGGCACGGTTTGTGTAGCCGTAGTCTCGCTTAAGCCATTTCAGGGCTTTGTGGTACGACCCCGCGTCTTTGAGCGAGTTCGCGATCTTGTTGGCGTAGCGAGACGCCTCCCTGTAGTTACCGTCGCGCTCCTCGATTCGGAATTGCGCTTTCATCTCCCGCAGCTGGTCCCCTTGCTTCTCCATGTCTAACGGGACGATATCGTGAACACTCTACGAAAAAACACTCGATAATAATACGAAAATAGTATGAAAGAGAAAAGGTCGCTGGTGCTATAGACCCATAATGGACGGTCGCATCTGGTCAACGAAGTTGCAAATGCTTCGAGCGTTTTTAGCCGACGAGCTCGAAAGAGGCATTACGAGACAGTCTAGTGGCAAGGTTGCGCGGTATTTGCCTAAAGCGTAGAGTGGGCGTGCTATTTTTGGTTTCTTTCCCGAGCAATGGCGGCTCCTAGGCATAGTGCATACTAACTGGTAATCGTGATGCCAGGCTAGCTATGGGGAAAATGACACTGCCTGTGGGTGAAGAATGTGATGTTGTGGGGGTATGCCTGTGGCATGGGGGGAGGACGAATGCTGCAGTTAATGCGATGCAGACCGGTACTTGATGGTTCCCGTGCCGTACTCCCGGATTCTGGTTTCCCGCCATACGATTCTCTGCACAAATATTCAAACTTCCAACTTCAAAACTCTCCTCAGGCTTGTCCTAATTGGCGTCAAAAGTACGCTTCAGAACTGGCCTCGAAAATGTGACTATACTCGCGAATTGCGAAGAGTAGAGTTACCCACATTCGTCAGCTTGTCGCTGTTACAGTAAATGACCCTCGCGTGTAAAGCAATCTTCAATTCCAGAGGCACCTGTTGCCTGCCTGTCACCCTTTTTCGCGCCTTTTTGTAATTGGTGGCATGCCTGTCGAACTGCGGTTGGTCGACGTGTGTACGCGCTCTGGTATACAGTAATACAATTTACTGTTCCCTACAGCACATTCAATTCTAGCCTAAACGCTGCAATGGTCAGATTTCGCAGGGGGAGGGGAAGACGAAGCTCTAGTGTTCCCCCCCCTCCATCGCTAGAGCTTGATCTTTCCCTCCCATTCCAATCGCTGCTAGGGGCCTACATTCTCTTCCCTTTCTACAGATTCCTGATTCGGGATTCAGTCTGTCGTTTTATTAGTTCTGACGCTTTTGGTCTGGTTGCCGTTAATCGGGTTTCTTCTCCCCGTGCAGCTTGCTCCTTTTCCTAGCAATCTAGACCATTTTACCCGTCGTTTCTACCAGACTCTCTCGATTCATCGCTTGGAAGAAGCGTCGTTCGGAACGATGCAGAACGGCGAGAAGGCGATGAAGTTCTACTACGTGGGGGAGAAGGGCAGGGAGCAGCTGAGGCGGTACAAGTACCAAGGCGCGGACCACTCGCTCGTCTCCAAATACATCCTCCAGCCCTTCTGGTCGCGCTTCGTCCTGCTCTTCCCGCTCTCCGTTGCGTGAGTGGCCATGACCTGATCGCGCCTATTTTTGAGGCGCCTCAAAAATAAACTCCTTACGCATGGTTTTTGAGGCGCCTAAAAAATAGACTCCTCACGCATGGTTTTTGAGGCGCCTAAAAAATAGACTCCTCACGCATGGTTTTTGAGGCGCCTAAAAAATAGACTCCTCACGCATGGTTTTTGAGGCGCGTCAAAAATAGACTCTTCGTCCTGCTCTTCCCGCTCTCCGTCGCGTGAGTGGCCATGGCCTGATCGCGCCTTAGCGAGTGACTTCACCTGACGAGGCTAACCCCTGATGGATCTCATTCAAATGACCGAAGCTAACCCCAGCGCTGTTCTTCCGATCTTCCCGCTCTCGGCGTTATTCTTTTTAAGTATTTCGACTAGCTTTCGCTCCGTTCCTCCGATCCTCCTGCGACTCGTCGCGATCCATTCACTTCGCTGCCATCTTGGTGCACCCCTGTCCACTCCTCACGTTCCGAAAACCTTCGATTCCCTTTCAAATTGTGACCCTTCTCCCCCCCTCGCTTCACTCTCCTCCCTCCCCCCCGCCTCCTTTCCGCTCCTTTTCTCCTCTTCTCCTGTCACCCGTTCGTGCACGCAACGGCACATCCGTTCGTCATGCGACCATGCGACCATGCGACCATGCGACCATGCTGCCAGTCCCAACACTGTGAGCAACGTCATCCTTATACTGCCTGCCCGTTCAAGTCTCGCCTGCACACTGCTCTTCTCGTCATTCTGTCTCACTCTCTCTAGTATTATTCCCCTTGCGTGCCAAACCGTACCGTACCGTACCGTACCATACCACAGTAACCCACGCCATGCCATGTCATCGTCATCCAGCCTCTTTCTGCCTCCTCTGTCTGCCTCTTCTGCTCGTGTTTCCTCTCATAGAGGCCCCTGGATCATCCCTTGCACACTCTACTCCGCTGCCTGCCGCTGCCCCTGCCCCGCCCCATATCGAATCGCCCTGCCTCCTTTGCCCTCGCCCTTCTGAGATCACAATCATGGGCCTCTGCTTCGTCTTCCATAATGTACTCCTCTGCCGTGCCCCATTTGCCCTTTCCCTGCCTCCGCTGCATGCCTTCGCCCTGCCTCGGCTCTGCGCGCCCTTGCCTCTCAGATCACTGTCATGGGCCTCTGCTTCCTTTACTCTCCTGCCTGCCTCTGCCTGCCTCTGCCTGCCTCTGCCTGCCCCTGCCTGCCCCTGCCTGCCCCGCCACATATTGAATCGCCCTGTCTCCTTTGCCGTTACCCTGGCCTCTCAGATCACGGTCATGGGCCTCTGCCTCATTTACTCCTCTGCCTGCCCCTTCCTGTCCCTGCCTGCTTCTGCATGCCTCTGCCTTCCCCTACCTCGCCACGTATTGAGTCGCCCTGCCTCCTTTGCCACTACCCTTGCCTCTCAGATCACGTTCATGGGCCTCTGCTTCGTCTTCCTATCCGTGGCTATCAGCTGGGTATGCCCACTCTGTTTCTCTCCCTCGGCTGAAGTGTGCCCTGCTGTGGACTCTATTCACATGTAGTTGATTCATACAGCTTGCTTCTGAGTCACCTCAGAAGCAGCCCCCCTTCAGCTGAAGCTGCCCTGCTGGGCAGCTGGATCCTACACGCGCGTACTTCATTTATACAGCTGAACCGAAATACTCACAACGAAGCAGTCTATATAGATGACACGTGAGAGCAGCGTCACAAATAACACAGTAACACGGTAACAGAGTAACAGAGTAGCACAGTAACACAGTAAACACTACAACAGAGTAACGCAGTAACACAATAACATGGTAGCACGGTAACACCAGCGCTGGCTCATCGACAAATTCAGATGACTCCCTCCTTGCACTGTGCTCTTCTCTGTACTCCGAACGCCCGTCCCTTGTTTCCCCGCCCCCTGTTTTCCCGCCCCCTGTTTCCCCGCCCCCTGTTTTCCCGCCCCCTGTTTCCCCGCCCCCTGTTTCCCCGCCCCCTGTTTCCCCGCCCCCTGTTTCCCCGCCCCCTGTTTCCCCGCCCCCTGTTTCCCCGCCCCCTGTTTCCCCGCCCCCTGTTTCCCCGCCCCCTGTTTCCCCGCCCCCTGTTTCCCCGCCCCCTGTTTCCCCGCCCCCTGTTTCCCCGCCCCCTGTTTCCCCGCCCCCTGTTTCCCCGCCCCCTGTTTCCCCGCCCCCTGTTTCCCCGCCCCCTGTTTCCCCGCCCCCTGTTTCCCCGCCCCCTGTTTCCCCGCCCCGTTCCCGCCCCCTGTTTCCCCGCCCCCTGTTTCCCCGCCCCCTGTTTCCCCGCCCCCTGTTTCCCCGCCCCCTGTTTCCCCGCCCCCTGTTTCCCCGCCCCCTGTTTCCCCGCCCCTTGTTTCCTCTCTCGCGCAGTACACGTCTCCTGACCTCCTAGCGCACGTGCCACGGCCAGTTATCATCCTCTTCTCGCTCCTGCTCTTCCTCTATCAGGTGAGAAGAAAAGAAAGAGAGCTAAGCCCCCTGAGAGTTAAGCCCCCTTCGCCCGTCCCTCTCACTCAATTCTGCCTTCGTTGTTTCTTCTCGCCAGCTTTCCCACAACCCGTTAGCTGTCAGTTATCGTCGTCCTCTCGCTCCTGCTCTTCCTCTATCAAGTGGAACGAAAGGAAAGAGAGCTGAGCCTCCTTGCCTTTCTTCTTCGTTTATAAATCCCACCTTCGTTGTTTTTCTCGTAAGCTGTCCCACAGACCATCAGCTGTCTCTCCCTTCCCGTCTCGTCTCCCCACCCACTCGCTCTCCTCCCTGTCCGTCCCTTCTGCCATCCCTGGCGTCCCTGGCGTCCCTGGCGTCCCTTCTGCCATCCATGCCATCCATGCCAGACGTTTGATGCAGTGGATGGCAAGCAAGCCCGCCGCACGGGCTCCTCCAGCCCGCTGGGCGAGCTCATGGATCACAGTAAGCGCCGTTGTCCTCTCTCTTGCTGCCAACGGACCACAGTAAGCGCCGTTGCCCTCTCTCTTGCTGCCAACGGACCACAGTAAGCGCCGTTGCCCTCTCTCTTGCTGCCAACGGACCACAGTAAGCGCCGTTGTCCTCTCTCTTGCTGCCAACGGACCTCAGTAAGCTCCGTTGTCCTCTCTCTTGCTGCCAACGGACCACAGTAAGCGCCGTTGCCCTCTCTCTTGCTGCCAACGGACCACAGTAAGCGCCATTGTCCTCTCTCTTGCTGCCAACGGACCACAGTGTGAAAGTTTCGACAATCAAGCAGGCTCGCCGCACGGCTCCCCCAGCCCTCTGGGCGACCCCATGGACCACCTTCCGACAATCAAGCAGGCCCTTGTCTTCACCTCGCCTTTTTCCTCGTCTTTTTTTCATCCACTCCTTTGGCTACCCGCTTAATAAGAGGTGGTACGTACCAGTATTTCTGACCATGTCTGTTTTGACCCACTGGTTTCCCCGCTTTGAGCAGTGCTGGCTGGATTCAACGTATTTATATCCCCAGCGCAGCCAGCCCAGAGCAGTGGCGCAGCCCTCATCATCCTTTTCCAGGATGGCCGATCGTCCACACCTTTTCCTCATCCCTCCTCTCATCCCCTCGTCCTTCCTTCCTTCCTTCTTTCCTGTATCTCCCCCTCTTTCCTGTTTTTGAGAATTCTAAAAAATATCTCCCCCTCTTCCCTTCCCTCCGTCCTCTCCATGCGTCGTTGCATTACCGCCGCTGCCCGGATGTCAACTCCTTCACCCTTCTGCCTCCCTGCTGCCAGGCTGTGATGCTGTGTGCTGCACGGTGAGTGGTAACCATGCATGGTGAGCAGTAACCATGCCCGGTGAGTGGTAACCATGCACGGTGAGTGGTAACCATGCGCGGTGAGTGGTAACCATGCAGGGTGAGTGGTAACCATGCACGGTGAGTGCTAACCAGTCATGATGAGTCTCTCACACGGGCAGTGGGACGAGGGAACTGGTGTGCTTACACGCTCCCCTCTCCTTCTTTGCTTTGTGCATCACTACTCTAGTCTCAAAGGGTCCTTTTGTTCCCTCAAATAATCCGTTGTATCGATCAGCAACACATGTGCCCTCGGCGCCTCGCTCCCACCATCCCGCTCCACAGCTGGAGGTGCTACCATTCTCAGCTGTAGGCTATGACGGACTCACATGCAGCATGCTATTCTCCCGCCTCCTCTCTTGTTTCCTTTTGTGTGGCTGCTCTCTCTCTGTTCGCTGACCTTGCTCTCCTCCTCACTTGTTTGTCTGTCGCTGCAGCTCTTGTGCCCACGCCTGCACCCCCACGCGCCTCATCTGGAGGTGCTGCCATTCGCAGCGGCCTGCATGATGGGGGCATGTGCTCTCGCCTGCTTCCTCACTCCCGTCCACCTTTGCGCCTCTCTGCTCGGCTCCTTCTTACCGCTGCCCACTTGCGTCCACGCCTCTGCCACCCCTCACCGCAGCTGGAGGTGCTGCCATTCGAAGCCACGGGGCAGGCATGATGGGGGCGCATGCGCCGCTCTTCTTGCTCCCGTCTCTTCCTTTGTGCCTCTCTGATCTTTCTTACCTCAGCTCACATGCCTCCCGTCCCCCCCCCAATCACCCCTCACCGCAGCTGGTGTGCTGCCATTCGCAGCGGTGGGCATGATGGGGCTGCATGCTCCCCTCCTCTCTTGTTGCCTTCTGTGTTTCTCTCTTGCCTCTTTTCTCCCTCTTTTTGCCAAAGATCTGGTGTCTCCGCCTGCTCCATCCCTCACCGCAGCTGGAGGTGCTGCCATTCGCAGCGGCGGGCATGATGGGGTCGCATGCGCCGCTCTTCTGGCTCGTCTCCTCCTCCACCTTTTACTTCGCAAGCTGGGAAACGTAAGACCTTTTTGCATGTGAGTTGTAAGGTGAGGTGAGTTTTGGGGACGATGTCGTTTCAACTCTTATCTACGCCGCTCTTCCGACTTCTATCCGCCTGCTTGTTTGCAAGCTGGGAGACGTAAGTTGGTGCTGCAGATGAGGTGAGGTGAGGTGTGTCCGCACATATTTTGGGGAGTTATGGGCATGCAAGGAATCACTGATGTGCTTAGGCTTTCAGGCCAGGACACTTCGGGGGGGCAAAATGCAGTTGTTACAAAACCGACTCCACTGGGGATCGAACCCAGAATCTCTGGTTCCGTAGACCAGCGCCTTATCCATTGGGCCATGGAGTCACGTTTCAGTAGCAAGAAAGCATTAACAGATTGTGGACCACAATGCACATGTCCCATGTCCCACTTCCCCTGGATCCATTACCTCCCGCTCCCAATTTTCCAGTGAATATGTTTTACCCCAGTCACTCACACAGCTAGCAACAAACACCCGCCCCAGCAGACCCCTATTCTCACATGCCATGTTCCCCCCCCACCCCCCCCCCCCCAATTTCTATCCGCTTTATGCCAGCTCTGTATTCCACTCAAGCGGTTACCATAGTCTCAACCTTTTTCCACCCTTCCTACTTGCATGTTTCCCACGACCCACCTTGGCCGTCTCTCTCCACCTGTCCCCTTCCTCCTCTCCCTCTCCCCCACTCTCTCCTCCCCTCACAGGTTCTTCACCCACTCCCTTGTGCTGCCCATTGTGAACGGCCCGACGGAAGGACTGCTCACCCTCTGCTCCTTCTTCCTCTTCACCGCCTACGTGGGTAAGCGGCTTCTCCCTCTTGCCTTGCCTTGAATCACTTGCCTTGTTTCGCTGAGACGCTTCGTGGGCCGACTTTTGAGCACTGCACACCACCACTTAGTTATTTTCGCTGATGGGTCCGTTTCAAGGGATTGTGTGCTTTCCTGTGCCTGTCCCTCTGTCCCCCTAGAATCAGTCCCCCGCTCCCACTTTCTCCCCACCTTCTCCCCACCTTCTCCCCACCTTCTCCCCACCTTCTCCCCACCTTCTCCCCACCTTCTCCCCACCTTCTCTCCGCTTTCTCCTCACTCACCTCACTCCCACCTATAATTCTGCCTTACCACCTTCTACACATACTTCCCTCATCCTCCCTCCCTCGTCCTCCCTCCCTCCCTCCCTCCCTCCCTCCCTCCCGTCCATCACCAGGCCAGGAGTGGTGGGGGGTTCCTCTCTTCTCTGCCTCCAGCGCCATCCACATGCACGCACACATGCCACTCTTGGAGCGGATCGGTCAGTATGTCTCATTCCTTTCTTTCAGGCGGTAAGAAAGCAGCACCATCAGCACCATCACCATCACGACCATCAGCATGCTCCACGTGCACGCACATGTCAGTGCTGCTTCTGGAACTGAACGAGGAGTGAAGGCACCTGTGAGTGAACCTTCTGGAGCAGACCAGTCAGTGCGTCTCTTCAGCGTTGGCAGTGCCTCTTCCTCCGTGCTGTTCCATCGTTGCTTCTCTTCAATTGCTGGTTTTTGCAGGCCAAAGTCTTCTCCTGCCGCTGTCACTTCGTTTCAGTCAGTCCTCTGTCAAAAAACTGCTGAAAACCCTCGCACAAATCTGCTGAAAACCCTGCAAAAATCTGTCTCGTTTCCAGGATCTGTCATTGTGCGCACACCACTGAAGCCTTTCACCTCTTGCGCTCCTCCTCCCTCTCGTTGTGGCAGCCTCTCTTTCCCGCCTGGACCTCCTGCTGCTGGTGCAGTTCCCTCTCTTTGTCACCCCAACAGCCGTCTCCAAGTAAGGCCTATCTTTGTCCCGCTGTGCTGTTCTCTCCTGTATGTGTTTTGCTCTCGCTTCCTCGCACCTGGACCTCCTGCTGCTGGTGCAGTTCCCTCTCTTCGCCGCCCCAACAGCAGTCAGCCAGTAAGTCCTCTATCGGTGCCCTGCTGTGTTTTTTTTCTCTCATCTTGTACGTGTTCGGCTCTCGCTTCCCTGCGCCTGGGCCTCCTGCTGCTGGTGCAGTTCCCTCTCTTCGCCGTGCCGACAGCAGTCATCAAGTAAGGCATCTCTTGGTGTCCTGCTGTGTTCCATTCTTCAGCCGTCTCCAAGTAAGGCCTATTTTTGTCCCGCTGTGCTGTGCTATTCTACTATTCTATCTATCCTCTGTATGGGTGTCGCTCTTTTTCCCTTTTGCCTTCACCTCCTGCTTTGGGTGCAATTCCGGCTCGTTGCGGTCTCACCGGCAGTCAGCAAGTAGGCCGTACTCTGTGGTGCTGTCTATGCAGTGCCTTGTGCCGTATCTCTCCCTCCCTGTTGCGTCTGCTTTTGAGTCGACGCAACAGCAAGGTATTTTTGAGAATTCTCAAACATAGTCTGCTTTTGTGTCGACGCAAAAGCAAATTCAGCTATTCCGGCTCTTTGTCGGCCCAGCAGCAGTCAGCATGTATGCCGTACTCTGTGGTGCTGTCTATGCACCACAGAGTGCAATATGTCTCCCTCCCTGTTGCGTCTGTCATGCCAATTTAAGGAGTCATTCTCGCATCTACAACTCCTGTCCTCCAAGTCCAGTTTTGCACATCTCAGTGCTCTTGCAACGTTCCACAACAAATTATGTCTCCGTTTCTCTCCCCTGCTCTCCTCTGCACTCTCTTTCCTCCACTCCTCTCCACTCCTCTTTTCCCCTCGCCTCTCCTCCCATGCCATCCCATGCCATCCCATGCCAATTCAAAGCGTGATTCCCGCGTCTACAACCCCTGTCCTCCAATTCCAGTTTTGCGCATCACAGTGCTCTGTCGGCTTCTACAACACATGATGTCCCTGTGATGTTTCTCTCCTCTCCTCTCCTCTCCTCTCCTCTCCTCTGCTCTCCTCTCCCCTCCTCTCTTCTCCCCTCCTCTCCTCCCCTCCCCTCCCCTCTCCTCTCGCCTCCCCTCTCTGCAGCCTGGTGACAGTGCTGCGAGCGGTGCAGACTGGGGAGAGGGAGAAGCGCAAGGGGGAGCAGCCACTGTGCCCGTGTAAAGAGTCTGCTTTAGAGTCGACTCCTCCTCCCCTCCCCCCTCTCTGCAGCTTGATGACAGTGCTGCGAGCGGTGCGGTCTGCGGAGAAGGAGAAGCGCAAGGGGGGGCAGCCACTCCGCTTCTCTGATACCACGCTCTTTGCCGCTCTTCTGGTATGCGTTTGTGTCTCGAAAATTGAGAGGGGAATTGGGGGGAGGGAGACGAGTGGGGTGGGGGGGAGGGGGGGGGTGTGAGAGGGGGGCCCACCACTGCCCTTCGCTGATACCACGCTCTTTGCTGTTCCGCTGGCATGCGCGTGTGTCTCAAGAAGGAGAGGGGAGAAGGGGGGAAGGGGAGACGAGTGAAGGGGGGAGAGGGGGGGGAGCCTCTGCCGTTCACTGCTCTGCTGGTATGTGCGAGCGTCTGAGGGAGGAGGGGTGAGGGGGGAGAGTGAAGAGGGGGGGAAGGAAGGGGGGGGAAGGAGGAATAGTGGGAGGGGGAGGGGGTGGTTGATTTTGTATGTTCACCTTATCCATATGATCTCGGTTCCTATCGCCAGCCTTCCTTCATTCCTGCTCTCTGGATCTTCCGCCATATTCCTTTTATCCTTCACCCCCCTTCCATTTCTCCTCCTTCCCCCTTCCATGTCCCTTTCTCCCCACATCTCCCCACTTCTTCCCTCTTCTCCCCACTTCTCTCCACTTCTCCCACAGCTTCTCCCGTACTTTGCCCTTTCGGGCTTCACTGTATCCTGGTATGTTCCTCACCACGACCGCCCCACTCATGCTAGGTAGTCTTGAGATATGTCATGCTGTGTCCTGGTTGGATCACTTTCACGCAGTTTGATTTTTGAGTCGACTCAAAAATCATGCTAGGTAGTCTTGAGAGATGTCATGCTGTGCCCTGGTTGGATCACTTTCACGCAGTTTCCCACTTTTCCTCGCCCCATCTTCTCTCGCACGTTGGCCTTTCGAGCTTCCCTGTTGTCTGGCCTCCCCCCTCACCATCAGCCCCACTCATTTTTGTAGGTGATTTTTTTATCGACTAGAAAATCACTCATTCTTGTAATCTTGTGTCTGGGAGGTGTAAAGAAAATACTTTCCCATCCGAGGAATTTCACATCCTTCCTTAAGTTCGTGTCTGAGAGCTCTTAAATGCACGCTACACTGTATCCAGTGGAGTATTTCTTTAGAATTCTAAAAAAGTATCCCCACCCAAGGCCCTCAGTTCGTAAGTTTGCTTTGTTCTGCGTTGACCTTGCCTCTCTCACTCGTTTTCTCCTGCTGCTTCGTTCTGGCCGATGGGGACAGCCCCCCCTGATAAACCTTCGTTCTGGATAAATCTTGCTGCGTTCTTACAGGGCGGTGCTGTCCCCATCGGCCATCTTCCCCCGGCACGCACACTTCTTCTTCCTCGCCCTCTGCTTCTCCTTTGCTCTCATGGTGGTGCGTGTGCTTTGCTCTCATGGTGTAGTGTGTCTGCCCGGGCAGTGACTAGTTTTGCACATGGTTATTTAATGCTGCTGTTACTCTTGCTGTCAATTATTTGGTGCAAACAATGTTTTTGTCTGGTCTGTGCTGCGTAACCTGTGGTACCCATGATGCCAATCAAACTTGTACCCATCAATCACCTTCTTGTGCTGCATATTCTGCACTTCTAAGCCATGCCATGCCATGCCATGCCATCCCATGCCATCCCATGCCATCCCATGCCATGCCATGCCCACCCAGGGCCGCATGATTCTCGCGCACCTCACTAGGGAGAGTGAAGGGCTGCTGCCTTCCATGCTGCAAGTAAGCAAGTGGATGCTCTCTGCTTTGCTCTTCTGCGGTGCTTCGCTGTTCTCTAAGTGCCCGTTTCCTGTCCAACCTCGCCCTTTCACACTTCTCATGCCCCTCATGCCTCCAACTACAACCCTTTGAGCCAATTCATTCTTGCTCCTGCCGTGTACCAGCCACTCAGTGCATCACCGCTGCAATGCCATGCTCACACTCACCCCCACATCCACACTCACACCCACACCCACACTCACACCACACTCACACCACACGCACACGCCCACACTCACATCCACACTCACTCAAAACCACACTCACACTCCACCTGCGTCCTTCATCACACTCAATTACGCTCACACTCCACCCCCTTAATCATTCCACTGTCCTCTCCTCCCCGTCCTTTGTTCCTCTTTCCCTCCATCCCTCCTTCCCCCTCCCCCCCGCATCCCCATCCTCCAGCCTCTCCTTTTCCTGACTATTGCACTCATCAACGCCGCCTGGCCACACTTAACTAGAGGGTAAAACCACCTCCTGCCCAGGAAACCCGATTTCAGCTCACTAAACCCATCCATGCACTCTGGTTTCTCACTGGTGACAACTTGTGTTCATCTTAGTGACCTTTCCTGCACGGAGGTTACAAATTCTGCTCGGTAGGAGCGATTTCTGCACACTCATAGCCATCGCTGTCTCTGGTTACCAGCAAGGCGAGTGGTACACAGGAAGCCGGATCTCAGCTCACTCTTTTTCTTCCTGTTTCGTCCCTCCTGCCTATCACTCCCCACCACTTTTCCCTCTACGTGTGTGGCTTCCCTTTTTGCCCCACACCATACCCCCATACCATACCCCCATACCATACCCCCATACCATACCCCCGTACCATACCCCCATACCATACCCCCATACCATACCCCCATACCATACCCCCATACCATACCCCCATCGACGATGTGTTCGCACCCATTGCTGCGTCTTCCGGTCTCTTGTAACGTGATGTAGGGTTTAACGAGTTGGTACAAGTAATTTACCCTGTGTGTCCACCCACCCCACGCCCCTTCAACCTGCAGCACTTCCCCTGGGCCCCTTCAAGCCCCTCTGCCAGAGTTACCACTGCTGCTGCTTTATGTCGCACACACAGGTCTGCACTTTTTTACTTGTCGACTCTCGGTTAGTCCAGTCAGGCATTTGCATCTCAGTTTATAGGTCAATGCAGTTTTCGCCCCTCTCGGCTGACCATGTATGCGTTCACTTTCACCCCAACTTCACTAGGATAACTCCCTAGGGCCTTCGCCCCCCTTTATCAGCTCACCCTCTCGACCATGCACATGTTTGCTGAATTCTCGTATTTCTATGCTATGTTTTTCCCTCCCTTGGAAACTGCTTCCAGGCTATCTTTACGGTCACTTTGCCGTGTGTGTGTGTTACGATATATGTAACACCCTCGGCATCTACACCTTTCGAGTGGGCAAGGCGAAGACATATCAACCGTTAAGGGCTGGGAAACAAGAAGCCAGGATTCAATTCAGGCCAAAAGTGTTATGAAGCTAGGTTAGCTGGGAAGGTAGGCGGCCATGAAATGGCGAGAGGTTTAGGAGCTATGAGAGAAAGTTACAAGAGAAAAGAGAGCAACTAGACGAGAGAGAGGCATACAAGGAGGGGGGTTTTACCCTCTACAGTAAAGTTCAATAAGCTACCAAGCCTACCAATTATATAACGCATTATATAATTTAACAAAAAGAACTATGGCAACATGGTACTTAGGATGTATAACGAGAGAGCTGCCAGCCAGTCAGACTTCGGTGCCAAATGTTAGCGAAGCTAGATTGGTAAAGATTGACTTGAACCACCTATCGGTCACTCAAGATGCAGCTCCCCAGATTCCACTCCACACACATAGCGTTCGATAACTCCTGTCGATGTCGAGCGAGCTCATAATTTCATGGCTCATACAGGTGAAATGTGTACCATACACGAAGCGTGGATTGCATGTTGTAAGATACTCCTGGAAACGAGTCCGAAGAGAGTGCATATCCCTGACGTCTTTACAATTGTATACATTGCGAAAATGCACAAGTTTTAGCTTGTTATACGTACTACTACAATTGCTTATACGTTTCCCCAGTACACGGGAATTTATTTATGAAACTGTAAGGAATTTTATTCCTTACCGGGTTGTACTGCAATCGCGTACACCCGAACTCTCGGAACACCAGGCTCTGTCCGTTTCCGACGCGACCCCGAGGCACGCCCGCGCCGCCTCCGATCCTTTCGACCGCGCCTGTACCCAACCTAGCCCTCCGGGTTCGTCGCCTAGCTAGAACTCGCTATATATTGCTAGGCTAGCATTCTTGTACTCGTCATTATTATTCCGCGCACTCTCAGTTATTATTCATAACATCTGGTATCAGAGCTACTTTCCAGGTTCACCCCGCTTTCTCAGGGTAGTTTATTTCCAAGGCGTGGTTAACCCTGGGGGGCTGCAAAGCGGTTGTCCGTGAGCTAGAGTTATTAGCTCACACAACTACGATAGCGTTTGCGCCTCCTACGGTCTCTTACCACGGCCTTCCCCCTGCCCGAAAGGCGTAGCATTCGCATCATGTCCCAGGCCCAGCTAGACGAGGTCATGGCTCAGATGCAGGCATGCAGGCCCAGATGGCGAGTTTGAACAGTGAAGTCGTGAGACTTCGGACGGAGAACACCGAGCTTCGCCAGACGCGTGGTGAAGCGCGTCAGGAGTCGCCTGGAGTCGCCGAAGACGAGGTTAAGCAAGGTGCCGACGACGCAGCGAGCGAAACCGTCCTTGACGAGCTCGCACGGGAGTTGGAGCAGGACGACGTGTGCACTGTGACTGTAACGAAGATTAAACTCAAGCCAGCAACACCGACCCCGTTCAACCCTTCGGACAAGGCGACGACGATGCAAGGGTGGCTGTTCAGCATGGAGCTGTTCTTCACGGCGGCAAGTGTGCACACGGATGACGCGCGCATTAATTATGCCGTGTCGCTGCTCCGAGGACCGGCGTTGGATTGGTGGCGTCAACAGTTGGCGATTGGGACTCCGGCAGGAGTGAAGCAGGCGAAGGACGGGACTTCGGACTCTTCAAACCAACAGGCAGAAACAATATTCGGTACGACCACGATTCGCACGTGGAAACAGTGGGGCACAGCTCTGCGAGCTCGTTTTGAGCATTCATCCGCCTCAGACGACGCTCGCATGAAGCTGCGCAACTGGCGGCAGGTGATTACTGTTCAAGATTACACTGCGTCGTTCTCGGCACTTGCAGACCAAGTCGACGACCTCAGCGAAGCGGAAAGGCGGGACAAATATGTTAGCGGGCTGCATTTCGATATTCAATACAAGTTGCAGCGGACCCGTCCCAAGACGTTCGATGAAGCTGTCCAGCTGGCGTCAGCAGCCGATGCACTACAGCAGTGGGCGAGAAAGAACAACAGGGATGTTGGTCGTTTTCGTGGACAGTCTCCCCGCCCCACGATCAATGGCGTGTCAGCGCCCGAGGAAACATTTCACGGGCTATGCTATCGCTGTGACAAGCCAGGTCACCGAGCTAAGTACTGCCCGACGGCGCCCAAGAAGACGAAGAACGACAAGGAGAAGCCGGGAAATGGGAAAAGTCAGTAGCAGACGGCCCCCCTACTGACGAGGCTTTGTCGCCCGAACTTCAACATTCCCACCAAGTAGTTGTACCGATACACGCTATCGACCGCACTCGGACGAATAACGGGAGCGAACCTGAAGATCACCCTGTGCTGGTCGAAGGCACGGTGAACGGCAAAAAAAAAAAAGTTATTTGTGGATGGCAGGGCTAGTCACAGCCTCATACACGTGAGAACAGCGAAGCAGTTGAAGCTGATGTTGGAGAAATGTCTTCCCGAAATCGACGCGCGACTGGTGGACGGAACTCCACTTGCAATTCGAGAACGAGCGCGCATGGTACGGATGAAGTGTGGCGACGATTTCGGATTCAGCATGCCCATACTGGCCACGACGCTGGACGGCTGCGATATTCTGCTTGGGCGTGATTGGCTGCGAAAATACAACCCGCAGATCGACCGGACAACTGGCGAATGCAGCGTGCACTGTGCGAACGGGTGGCGCGTACTTCCGTGCTGGCGTGGGAAGGACCCGGTGTCGACACGTGTCAACGCCATCACCCTCCAGCGAGCAGTTAAATGGGGAGCTGATTTGTACGCCGTCCACCTGGCCGAAGCGACGGTCGATGACATGCCGAAGGACATTGACACACTCTGTGCCAATGTCCCAGCCGAGCTTGCCGCGCTGATTTGACAGTATCCGGATATTTTTCCGGACGATCTGCCAGCATGCTACCACCCGAGCGACCCCAGGACCACAAAATTGACCTGGAACCCGGCGCGCAGCCTACAGTCAGGACCCAGTGGCGGCTGACTCAGCCCGAGCTCACGGAATTGCGGAGCCAGCTGGACTACCTCTTGGAGAAGGGGTTCATTCGGCCCAGCACGTCCCCATTCGCAGCGCCAATCCTGTTCACGCCAAAGAAAGACGGCGGGCTGCGAATGTGCATCGACTACAGGGCGCTGAATCGGCGAACCATTAAGTCTCGCTACCCAATCCCACGCGCGGACGATCTTCTCGATCAACTTCGCGGAGCTCATTTCTTCTCGAAAATTGACTTACGCGGCGGTTACCATCAGATCCGAGTCTTCGCTGACGACTGCCACAAGACGGCGTTCCGCACCCGCTATGGCAGCTACGAGTACACCGTGATGCCGTTTGGCCTCACGAACGCGCCCTCCACTTTCCAACTCACCATGAATGGTGTATTTCGAGATCTACTCGACAAGTGTGTCATCGTCTATCTTGATGACATTCTGATCTACAGCAAGACAAAGGAACAGCACCTCAAGGACCTCGAGCAAGTTTTCCAGCGGCTGCAAGAACACCGGCTCATCACGACGGGCTCGAAGTGCGAGTTCCTAAAATCCGAACTGGAAGTTTTGGGACATGTCGTGGGAGCGGACGGCATCAAAATCGACCCGAAGAAAATCACAACGATTCGCGACTGGAAGCCGCCGACGAATTTACAGGAGCTGCAGAGTTTTCTCGGGTTCGTTAATTATGTCCGGAGGTTTATCCCCAATATGGCAGGGATAACCGGACCGTTAACTGACCTGCTGCGGAAGGGCACTTTGTTTGAATGGGGGGAGAGACAGCAGACTGCTTTCGATGAACTGCGAAATTCTCTGACGTCGCCCCCGGTCCTCCGAATCGCCGACCCATCTCGACCGTTTGAAGTCTTGACGGACGCTAGCGATTTCGCCATCGATGCGATACTGTTACAAGATTTCGGCGAAGGACTCCAACCAATCGCGTACGAATCTAGGAAGTTGCAGGCAGCCGAGCGCAACTACCCCGTCCACGACAAAGAAATGCTCGCCATCGTGCACACATTCAAGGTGTGGCGATGCTACCTGACGGGAGCCGACGTAACAGTACGGACAGACCATAAATCCCTACAGTACCTCCGCGCGCAGCTGAACCTCAATCCACGACAGATTCGCTGGCTGGACTTCTTCGAAAGCAACTTCCACTACACCATCACGTACAAACGTGGGGCGAATAACATCGCCGACGCACTGACAAGACCATCCGCCCACCTCGCCTCCATCATCGTCGCAAAATCCAACCTGGTGCTCACTAGCCTATTTACCCACGGCTACACCACAGACCCTTTTTTCATCCGCAACCTCCACCAGCAAACCACCACAGCCAAAGGACCCTACTTCCTTAAAGCTAGTAGTGACCGTATCTGGGTTCCCGCCTACAGACTCCTCCGCGAATTATTTATTCAAGAAGTCCATGATTCTAACCTCTCCGGTCATTTCGGGGTTGACAAAACCCAAAAGTTACTTCACCGTTTTTTTTTATTGGCCTGATTCGGCGTCTGATGTGCAGAGATACGTATCCGCGTGCCCGATCTGCCAACGCATGAAGTCTTCTCGACAGCGGCCAGCTGGACTGCTGCAACCGCTCGAGCCACCCCAGCGGCCGTGGCAACACGTGACGATGGACTTCGTCACGGGACTCCCGGCAACCGCCACGGGCAACGACGCCGTCCTCGTCGTCGTCGATCGTCTGACGAAGATGGCGCATTTCGCACCCTGTCGCACAACCATCACAGCTGAAGATACAGCGAAGCTTTTCATCTCCACCGTTGTTCGTTTTCACGGCCTACCATCAGCAATCATCAGCGACCGCGACCCAAAATTCGCGTCCAAGTTTTGGCAGGAGACATGGGTCCAGTACGACACACGCCTCCAATTTTCCTACGCCTACCATCCTCAAACCGACGGCCAGACAGAGCGAACCAATCAAACCATGGACCAGCTGATACGCACCAACTGCCCAGATCCTGCCCGGTGGGAAGAATTCCTGCCCATGCTGGAATTTTCCTACAACAATGCCCCATCTGCTACGACCAATCACTCGCCGTTTTTCCTAAACTACGGGATGGATCCGACCGTCCCGACGACTACCCACATCGACAACCCAGTGCCACGTTCCCAGCAGTTCATGACAAGTTTGCAAGCTGCACGGGATAAAGCGATCGAATTCATTCGCAAGTCCAACACAACCGCTCGACGCTATACCGACCTTCATCGCCGCGATATCACGATGACCGCTGGGCAACTAGTCCTCCTCGACACGAAGAACCTTCGATTGCCCCTGCCTTCAAAACTCCGACCGCGATTCTGTGGACCTTTTCGTATTGTCAAGATGGTGACACCTGTCACGGTGAAATTATTACTCCCGGACGAGTGGCGCATTCACAACGCCTTCCACGTCAGCCTGCTTCGTCCATACGTCGCCAGCACGTGTGCAGTCGCACGACCAGCAGCCGCCCCCAGTGTCCGCCCAATGGCTGAACCGACCCTTGAGCCTTTCCGGCATTTGAGTCATCGCGTCCGCCTAGACTCAACAGGACGACACGTGGATTTTCTTGTCCGCTGGGTCGACCGTACAAGCGAAGACGACACGTGGGTCCCTTCCGGCTCGCTTCAGGAACACTCGGTGCTCAAATCTTATTTGACCCGAAAAGGCGTTCCCGATGTTGATCACCTTCCTTAAGAGGGGGGGTAGTGTAAGGAATTTTATTCCTTACCGGGTTGTACTGCAATCGCGTACACCCGAACTCTCGGAACACCAGGCTCGGTCCGTTTTTCCGACGCGACCCCGAGGCACGCCCGCGCCGCCTCCGATCCTTTCGACCACGCCTGTACCCAACCTAGCCCTCCGGGTTCGCCGCCTAGCTAGAACTCCGCTATATAATGCTAGGCTAGCATTCTTGTACTCGTCATTATTATTCCGCGCACTCTAAGTTATTATTCATAACAGAAACGGTCTTAAAACCAGCAGACTGTAGTGTTTGATGAACAGTCTGGTTCGTAACGTGAGACCTAGCCCGGACCAATCAGCTCGAAACAGCACCTCTGGTCTAGCAGAAGATCCTGGCCATAGCCTCGAACTCCCGATTCGCACCAGCGAAAGTTGGTGAGGCGAACATTCCAATTGCTTTGTCGACACCCATGGTGAAGATCCAGCCAATGGCGTGGAACACAGGACCACGTTTTTGCGACGAGGGCGAAGCCACATACGACCATTTTTAGGTCGCCCATCACAAGTTCAGTACACGGTGTACGTTTGATTGCGGTTGGGTGAGGTGCCTCACGGATCAGAAGGATCAATAACAAATCTAAAACGGTTGGGTAGGGTTTTGACCAAAAACGAAGGTGCTGGTTCAGTGCCTCGAAGAGCCTTGCGTGCGACGTGCGACGGGCTCGAGGGTTCAGCAGCAGCAAAGCTGCACGAGGGAGTTCGTCCTCGGGATTTGTTTCTCGCTCTTCCACCTGACTTTTGTTTCTTCGGCTCTTCCCCCGCTTACTGAGGGGGGATATACTGAAGGAATTTCTCAACTGGAAGTTTCTGCTAGTGGTAGGTTGTGGCTTTCTGAAGTGACGAGTTCTGCCTTATGACTCATCGATGACTCTCCAACAGTAGGCAGATTGGCAGATCTTACTCGCTCTGCTCTAATCCGTGCGAGCATTACGGAGCATTTGCAATGCCTTCATCCCACATGAGAAAGAAGGCACCCTGACTACTCCCTGCTCAATCCATGCTTGCACCAACCGCGTGCCTGTGCATCCAAACCTGGTTTGAAGAACTGGTAGCAGTTCGCCTTTCGCTGGATACTCAAGCCGCGCCGAGCCTTTCTGAGGGTCCATCACCACCCAATACCTCCTTGCTAGACGTATTATTCCATCCTGAGCTTCTCATTGCTGGTAGCATGTCGCCTGCTAGGAAATGAATCACCGTAGCCGGACCCTAGCAGGCCACACTCCCTTACACCGCTCAGCAGTAACCCCACTTGTCAACCATATTCCGTTCTTCGACAATTGCTTCTTAGCACGTCTCAGGATCTCGCCTGTTAATATACTGTAGCCTTCCCTCCCCACAGTAGCCTTCCGCCTGTACCCTCCGCGACGGTAGTCTTTCCCCATACCCCTGTAACTCCTCCCCGGTCGCCTCCCGTTAATGACGGGGTCATAGGCATCGCTGCGCTCCTGGCGAGAAGAAAGCTCCTCCTCGGTTGGTTCTCCGGCTCGCATCTGGCGATGCTCGGAGGGGTCGACCCGCCGCGATCGCCAGGTGGCAAGCCGTCATTGGTCGCGTCGAGCCCGTCTATCGGTGGTACAACCGGACCGCCAGGGCTTATGTCCCCTTCCAAAATGACTGGACCGCCGACTCTCTCCGCCTTCCTCCTTCCCTTGATTCGACGCAGCCGAATCCAGGTAGGTGAATTTTATCGGAATTATCTATATTTTCTCATTCGTGATGATCGATCTGTGATTTGTGTTTTTCTGTTAATCCACGTTATCTTTTCGACGCGGTTTCTCGTCTGGTCTGTCAATTATGTTTAGACATTTGTCAATCGACAGCAAGGCACGAGCTACTGTCACATCCGATGGTAGCACCGCAAAGCAGCTGCAGCCCATGCCTTACTCGCTACGCGTGTGGCCAGGAGCGCCGTACAATCGGGCTCAGGGAACGTGTTTCTGTTCAATACATCGTAAAAGCCATCTTGTAGCCACGCGATAGGCGGCAGCTCCACCGTCGGGCGAATTGCAGGCGAGGGATTATGAGACTCTTAGCTAGATTCACGAGACGCCGAGAGATTTGCCCTTCGAATCAGAGTAGCGGAATTACTTAAATTTTCAACTAATCTAGAGATTCACAAGACGCCTAAATAATTGCCCTCTGAAAACACTCGCACTTTCCGATTTGAGCGACTCTACGCCGTTGTCACACAGGCCGTGATCGTTCAGGCTATGCTGGCCGCGAATCTACGACGGAAAGAGGCAGCACGAGCAGGATAGAGCGTGCGTGGCGGAGCTTTCAGATGAAGAACGAATGCCGCCAGGATCGCATCGTTAAGCAGGATGCTTGAGTTCTGCAGGAGCGAGTGTTAGAACATGTGTTAACTGTTACGAATTTTCTGTTCTCCTCCCCCCTGCCAAACCCCCTCTCTTCCCCGTGTGTGTGTATGGGTGTGTGTCTCTCCGTATGCTGTGTTCGTCTGTGTTCTTTCCACGCATTGCCTTGGCCCTTCCTCAACCAACAACTGCAGTGGGGCCTTGGACTTCTATGGATCGTTCTCTGTCTAAAAGTGAGACTTTTTTCTAACCACTTCCTTCCCAACCTCCTATTCATCAACCTTTTCTTCCCCAACGCCTTTTCCTAAAAACAACCTTATCTTCCCCTTCTCCACACCCTTTCCCTTTGATCCCTGGCCCCGTTGACGCGTTATTCATGCCTTCTTGTTGCATCAGTGACCTTGCTGCTGCGGTTTTGATCCTCCCCTCTCTCTCCCAATCATCCTTGCTTCTCCCCTCCCCCCCCCCCCTTCCCCCCCCCCCCCCCCCCCCCCTCTCACCCACCTTCATGCTAACTTCTGCAGCTATCCTGCTGTTCCGCAGCACACAGCAGACCCACAATTTCTATGCATGACCACGCCGTCTAGGGCAGACACATAAATGCACTCACTTGCACAATCCTAACCCCCCTCCCTCTTCCCCCCTCACCACCACCCCCACCCGCTCACTCCTCCCTCTTCTTTTCTCGTCCATCCGCCTTATCCAACCTCCTTTCCCCACCTGCTTCCTTCTCTCCCTCCCTCCCTCTCTCTCCCCTCCTCCCCTTCCCCTTTCGCCATTCCCACTTTCTTATTCCCCTCTCTCCCTCATCTCCCCTCTCTCCCTCATCTCCCCTTTCTCCCTCATCTCCCTCTTCCTCCTCTCCCTTCCCTCCGTTATCTTCCCTATCGTCATTGCGTCTCCTCTCTCCCTACGTCCCTCTCTCTCCCCTCTCGCCCCTCTCTTTACTCTCCCCTCTCTCCCCTCCCCCCCTCTCCCCCCCCTCCCCCTCTCTCCTCTCGCCTACCCGCTCTCTCCCACCCCCCCCACCCCCAGGTGATGAAGGACTCAGTGGATCGCATGGATCGTAGCCTGCAGTCGCTCTTCTTCTACGAGGCCTTCCTCTACTATAACCCGCTCCTCATGATCGTACGTGCCCTGCTCTGGGCTGCCTTACATCAGCTCGATCCGATGCTCCTCAGATTACGTCCTATTGGGGTTTCCACGGCTTTGGATTCGATTGGGGGGGGGGGAAAGGGGGGAACACACACCTTGGCTGGGAGAGAGATTTTGTGCCCGGTCAACTTGTACAGCCTGGCGCATTACTTATTCCCAGGCCAGCTTACCACCAGGGCTAAGCCCCTTAGGAGTTTTCCCCCATTCTCTCCCCCCTCCGGCCCTTCCCCTGCTTTCCCCCGCCAGGCGCTGATGGTGTGGCTGTGGGGGATCAACCTGTACGGGCTGGCGCACTCGCGGGTCAGCTACGCCAAGGTCTTTGACCTGGACCACAACCACCTCACGCACGCGCAAATATGGCAGGTCATCCTCATCCCCCCACTCTCATCACACGCGTGCACATTACTCTCGCACTTGCTTGGGGGGGAAGAGAGGGGGGGGGGGGGGGTGTGGAAGAGGGGGGATCTGGGGGGCGGGAAGGTCTGGGGTATGGGTCATGGGGTTCAGGGCTTCGGGCATGGGAATGGGGTTTGGGTTGGGTTCGGGTATGGAGTTGGGCGTGGGTCATGGAGCTTGGGTACGGGATGAGGCATGGGCTTGGAGTTTGTGCACTCCTCTTTCCCCAAACCACATCCTTCCCATCCCCATCATTCCCACTCCCCCTCATTCCCCTTCCCCTTCTGGCCTCTCCTCCACCTTCCCCTTTCCCCCTTTCTGACCACTCAGTTGTTTGTTGGTCTGCTCTTCTTTTTCTCCATGGCAGCACTTCTCGTCCTTCTCATCCCACCCGTCCAAAACCTCATCCTTTTCCAAGTTGTAGTCGCTGTCCATGCGCTTATCTGTGTCCTCTCCGCCCATGACCCCGCATGCCATAATCTCCGTTTTCTCTCTATCATCCAACCCTTTCCTGTCCGCAGCATGTCATCTCCTCCCGTCCCCTCCCCCCCCAACCCCATACCCACCCCACCCACCATCCCCCTGCCAAATCCCTGTGTGCGCATCCCAGGCGGTGCTCTCATCCATGACTGCCTACCTATTCCTCTTCCCCACCAGCTGCTTGTTCCTTTTATTTTTTTAATATTTTTTTCGTTCTCACCCTCAACTTTGGTTCCCGCACCTCTCTCCTCCCTCCTCTTTCCCTCCTCTCCCCCACTCCACCCCACCCCACTCCACCCCACCCCACCCCACCCCACCCCACCCCGCCCATTCCCACCCGTGGCTGTGCATCTCCCAGGTGTCAGCAGCGCTGTCCCTGGCGGTGCTCTCCTCCATGACGGCCTACATGTTCCTCTTCTCTCACGGCCTCATCAACTTTGCGGCGACGCAACCTGTAGGGCGGATGGGAAGGTGCTCGTCTGGGTATGCATGTCTGGCTCACATGGCATGGTTGGGGGACGGTTGGCATGGAACGGCAGGGCATGGCAGGGCAGGGCAGGGCATGTCATGGCATGGGATGGTTGCCTTGGGGCACAAGGAAGGTAATGCATGCTACCTGTGTCCCATGCTTCCTTGGTGTCCCCCATGCCCCATACGGTCTCCCATTCATGGTCTTCACTTCATCCCTCCAATTTCTCTATCGTTCTTCTGCTGCAACTTTCGTTACTCCATCCATCTCCCATCTGCCTTGGCCTCTTTCTCCTCCTGCTCCTCCTTCCCCCTTTCGACTCAACTCAATGGTATTCTGCTCCTCTTCTGCTCCCAGCCCTTTTCCGTTCGCCTCTCGCACCTCTCCCCATGTCTCGCTTCCCTCCGCCCCCTTGCCCTCTGCCCCCTGTCGCATTCCCAGGTACTGATGTACTGTTCTCTGCCGCTGACGCTCGCTCTGCCCTTTGATGTCCTCTACGCCCCCTCCCGGGTCTACTTTCTCACCACGCTCTTCCGACTCACCTTCCCTCTGCAAGTAAGGGGCTGCAAAACAGGGAGGGAGGGAGGGCGAGGGGGACAGAGGGGGAGGAGAGAGATGGGAGAGAATGCGGGAGAGAGAGAGGGGGTGCAGGAGTTGTGGGGGGAGCTGGGGAATGGGAAGGGGAGAGGGAGGGAGGGGGGTGAAGGCATGTTTTACTGCTGTGTTCTTTTCTCCCCATCATTCTTATCCGTCCCTTCCTCCTTCTGACTCACCTGCCTCCGCCTTCCTCTCCCCCCAACCCTTCCCTCTCCCTCCCCCCCAACCTTTTAAAGCACCTGTCTTGCATTCGTTCTCCTGCACTCTCTGTGAACTTACCTTACCTTTCCAGTATTCTCTCCCACCAGTATCACTATTCACACATCCATTCAATGCTTCTCTTTCCCCCCTCCCCTCCCCTCCCCTCACCCCCCCCTCTCCCTCCGCCCCCTGCCCACCCCTTCCCTGCACGTTACCCTGACCGTGCCCAAACCTCCCTTTCAATTCATTTCCACCCGTCTGTCCGTTCCTCACCGCCCACTCCTCCTGCAGCCAATCTCGTTTGCAGATTTCTTTGTGGCTGATGTGCTCACGTCCATGGCCAAGGTATGCAAGAAGACATGACGTGGCGTTCCGGCCATGCCGTGTGATGCTGTGCGGCGTGCCGTGCCATGGTGCGATGTGATGTGTTTTGATTTGATTTGGTGTGATTTGGAGTGACAATATGAGATATACTCTATCACGCAGTGCAGACGCTCCTATTACAGTTCCCCCTTTCGCGTTTCTTTCTCCTCCCCATGCCATCCATGTGTATCTCTTGTTCACTGCAGTCTCCAATCCATTCGTTACGTCACTCGGACCTCTGTCTCCCAACCATAGACCTCCCATTGCCCCCTACCCCCAAGTCCCATAGACCAGAAGCTCAACAGCTCAATCTCATGGTTGTTCCTCTGGCACTGCCTGTATCCCTGCAAGAAAGCTCAATGCATCTAGAGCCCAGTTTTCTACCCTACATTCTCAAGCCTGAGCCTTTATGCCTGAAACGTTTGTCCCAAGGCCTTTCAACTCTGTACTGCCGCTGTGCTGCCTCCCCGTGCCTTGTGTTTCCTTGCAGGCTTTATCTGACGTGGAGCGGTCCATATGCCGCATGTCACATGGCCAGGTATGCCTGCCTGCATGTCTGTCTGCCCATGAGCTGGGGGATGCAGCATGGCACATAGCAGGGCGATTGCATGGCACGTGGCAGGGATGCAGCATGGCACATGGCAAGACTGCAGCATGACACGTGCATGGTTATGGCATGGCATATCGCCACCGTTGGGGTCCGTTTGCACTGTACCTCATATAGATCTGATACCCGCAATCCCCACTTCCTTCCGGTCACACCTTGCAGGTGGCGAGCATAGCATGGATGGATGCAGGGGACGTGTGTGGGAGCCACTCCATCATGATCCCAGTGGTACTCGCCTTCCCATACGCCTGCCGCTTCTTCCAGTGCCTGCGCCAGTACTCCGACACCCGAGACAAGTCCTGCCTGCTCAATGGTGCGTGCAACTGTGTGGGTGTGTGTGTGTGCTGCCGTGCTGTCGGGGTGACGTTTGAGTTGACTCTAAAGTCTTCCCCAACGCCTGCAACTTCGTCCAGTGCCTGCGCCATTTCTCCGACACCCGAGACAAGTCCTGCCTGCTCAATGGTGTGTCCGTGTGTTGCTCTCCATGCGTCGTCTCAACCGGAAAAGCATTGTCACACGCTTGTGTCTCGGCTGTTCAATATATGGACGGACCCAGCGTCCCTATTGCCCCCTTGGAGCAAGAGGAGTCAAGGAGTAGCTGATCTGGTTCATCTGTCCATCTCTTCCCGCCTCTCGCTTCTCATCCATGTCCCTCACTCTCTCACATCCATCTCTTCCCACCATGTGATTCTCTCCCTCACTCCTCACTGTCCCCCTAACCCAACCCCCCCTCTCCGCCTCCCGGCCTCCCCGTTTCTGCCTGCTCCCCTTGCAGCGCTCAAGTACTCAACAGCATTTCCTGTGATCATCCTATCAGCCACCAAGTATCACGTGCCTGTGGAGCGGTGGAGAGCAGTGTACCGGCCGCTGTGGCTCATGGCATCCGTGGTCAACTCGTGCTACTCCTACTACTGGGATATATCTCGAGATTGGGACTTTGGGTACGCCCCCTAGTCTTGTGGCTTGCCTGTTGCTATTGCTTTTGCAGTATTCCCTGTCTGTGTTGCTGGCTGTGCTATCACCACTCCCTACATAGCGTAAGAGCCAATTCTCATTCCTTTTTGCCCTGTAACCGCATGCACTCTCCAATACCCAATCCCTCTCCCATTCCCCACTGTCCCCACCCCCAGGTGCTTTTCCGGCAATTGCAATTCGCGAAACCCTCTTCTCCGCAATAACCTTTACTTTCCTCAAAGATGGGTACGCATTTCGTGTCGCAGGCCTTGTTATTCCCTCTGCGCGCTTTTTTGCCCCTTTTTTTATGCCATATGTTGCCCCCATGTGTATTTCTCCCATCTGATCATAATTCTGAATGAATGCCTCAGATGTGGCTGAATACAAAGTGCAATGCGTACGGTTGGCAAATGTGCATGAGGCGGTGGTAGTTCATACCAGATGAGTCTTTCTGACACCACGCCCCTTCCTTGGCAGGTCTATTATTGGGTGATGTGCTCGAACCTTGTTCTTCGAATCTCCTGGACTTACAAGCTTTCGTCCCACCTCCGAAACAACCTTGCCACAACCTTTGTGGTTACAGCGTTGGAGATGGTGCGCAGGTTTCAATGGGTCTTTTTCCGGGTAGAGAACGAATGGAACAAGATGACAATGCGCGCGGCAGCCTCAGCAGAAGACTTGAAGGGCTTAGCGGCTTCGGAGGATCAATCCGATGACATACCGCTCCTTAATGTCACAGGAGGGAAGGGTTCTCCAAGGGATATTTGAACGTGGAGAGCCATTTCTAAATGTCTAGGCCAGTTCAGCATAGGCTTAGCTTGTGCATGTACTTCGAATTCTTTTCTATGATCAGTTCCTAATTGTTCAAGTTTAAGCGAGGGTCTCAAGAAGCAAAAAACCAAACCCGAAGGTTTTGGTTCTGGGGGGTCTCGGCAATTGCGAGGTGCGATGAGGGGTGCTGGTTGGGCGTTGTAACTGTTTCGCAAAGTTCGTCAACCCAAAACCGAAACCTTTGGATTTGGTTTTCTGCTTCTTGAGACCCTCGCTTTAAGCCTTCTCAAGGTCATGTCTATTCTTATTTGCGCCGCCGCATCGCAGGCCGCTCTGTCACATCATTCCGAACCGCGCAGGGAGCGCGGCTCGCATGTGGTTCAGAAAAAACGTGAAATGCAACACAATCCATGCCTCCAGAACAGGACTGAGAAACTCCCGCAGGTTGTGTAACCCCATGCACCACGCCCTACACCGCGTCCCACCGCTTAGCAGTCACATCGCATCGCCAGTCAGACGTGAAAGCAAGGAAAGCAAGCTTGTTTGAGCAAGCTGTGTTGATGGTAATTCTCTGTCTCCCTTACTTGCAAGAGTGAGCTCTTTTTAGGCACCGTTGCGCCGTCGCACGCTGGTGAATTGGCGTTATCGTCGCACGTTTTCTCTTCCAAGCAGCCTTCGCCGCTCTGGTTGTTTCAGTAAGAAAAAACCGTCAAGCGCTGACTTGAATCACAGCGGTCCATGTGCCTTGGCCGCCTCATAACCATTTGCACGTGGTGCTACTAGCTGGCGACCACCTCGCCCAACCAAAATCATGGAGCACGAGCTGCTTGTAACGAGGACGAAGTCGTTCGGTCGGCTGAAGCAGCGGCTGCGCGCCACACTGCCCGTATGCCGCGCCAGCGGCGCTACTATCCCTCCACCGTCCCCCGCCGAGCCGCGCGACAACGATGCTACTATCGCGCCCGAAATCGAGCCTCCACGGGCGTCGCCGCCGCCCCGAGGAGGCCCGACCTTCGTGAGTCGCGAAGACGTCGCAAGCACTCGCGAGGCCGTGGCGGCGGGCGGAACGATGGCTCCGACGTTCGGGCCGACGCCACTGGCAGTCCCGGGACCGATGCCGCCGCCTCTTCCCGTCGCGGATGCGCCGACTCTGACCTCCGGTGACCGTTGGGAAAGCAACAGCAGCGCACATCTCAGCGGTTCAACGGCTACTTTTACTTCAGCCATAGCCATCCGGCCACAGCCGCCGCCGCAGCAGCTGCCTTCTGCTACGAGTGCTACTAGTGCTGGTGCGAGAAACGACGAGCCCGGCTGGGGCGGCGGTTTCGGCGGCGGTTTTGGCGGTGGTTTTGGCGCCTATTTTGGCGGCAACTTTGGCGCTGCAGCGGCTTCAGGCGACGGATCGCTCGTGGATTATCTTACAGCGCATCACTCCGTGGCGAACTGCGGGTACTACGGCGGGGACTGGGGTTTTTTGGAGCCTGAGATCGGCGTTAGTGGGAGCCCCTTGGGCTCTGGTGGGACCGGCGGGGATGGGGGGGACGGGCGGAATTCGGGGACTGGCGGAACTGGCGGGAGTGGCGGGGCTGGCGGCGCTGGTGGTAGCTTGGGCGTGCCACAGACGGCGCCATCATGGGGTGAGGTACAAGGAGGCGGCGATGTATCGCCGTTGGTGCTGGCGCATGTGCAGCGTGCAATCGGTGCACCGCAGCAGGTACATCAACAGCAGGTGCACGAAATGGGAGCGAGCACGAACGAGAGCGAATTGGGTGTGGGCGCATGGATGATGATGAGAATGGAGACGACAACCATAGCGGCAACAGCAGCAACGGCAATGACGGGGTCGACAACGAGGATGGTGGCGGTGGTGGGAGATGGAGAGGAGCGGAATGCGATGAGGCCTTTGCAGGGTCGTGTGGAGGACAAAGCCGCCTTCCTATCAGACTTGGCAACTACGGCGACTGTGGAGGTTTGCCAATCCACGCCTGTGGCAGCGTGTATGGCGGGATCACCAGTGGACGCCGTTCCAGCAACGGAGGGAGGAGAAGGGGAAGGAGGAGAAGGGGGAGGGGGAGGGGAGGGGGAGGGGGAGGGGGAGGGGGAGGGGGAGGGGGAGGGGGAGGGGGAGGGGGAGGGGGAGGGGGGAGGGGGAGGGGGAGGGGGAGGGGGAGGGGGAGGGGGAGGGGGAGGGGGAGGGGGAGGGGGAGGGGGAGGGGGAGGGGAGGGGGGGGGAGGGGGGGGGGGGGGAGGGGGAGGGGGAGGAGGAGGGGTGAAGCGGAAGTGGAGGGCGTGGGAGAGGAGGGAGCGGCTGAGACGGGGTGGTGAAGGGAGAGGTAGCAGCAGCGGTGAGAGGAGGAGGAGGAGGGGAGGCAGGGGCCGTCTTGAGGATTCAGCAGCTAGCACTGATTGTGGTGGTGTTGGTGGTGCTGGTGGTGCTGCTGGTGGTGGTGGTGGTGGTGGTGGTGGTGGTGCTGCTGCTACTGGTAGTGGTTGTGATGTGGATGGAGTGGTGGATGATGCTGATGCGTCTGGTCATGGCAGAGAGAGGTGGAGGTGGACTAGAGAGAGGGAGATGGAGGAACAGATGGGGCGGCTGTCAGCAGTAATGATGATGAAGATGGTCATGGGGGAGGGGGAGGAGGGCGAATGCAGTGAAGACTATGCCTGTGCCTATGCCCAGGCCCATGACCATGCCCATCCCCATGCCCATCCCCATGCCCATGTCCGTGATCATGCTCCTGCTTTTAACCATGGCAGCACCCTGGAGCAGATGCTGAATGACTGCCGGGTGGGGGACGCTCGTTATCACGGCAGCTGTAGCAACAATGCTGGTGCTGCTGGTTGGAAGGATGCTGCTGCTGCTGCTGCTGCTCCTGTGGTTGCATGCAACGGCTCTGAAGCCCAAGGCGGAAAGGAGGGTGGGGAGACCAACATGTGGTGGGAGGAGGAGGAAGAGAAGGAGGAGGATGATGATGATGAGGACCAAGAGGCCCAAGCGGAGGCAAAAGCAGCACATGCTTCTTTTGCTCCTCTTCCTCCTCTCTCTATTCTCCCTCCTCCTGCTGCTACCTCTCCCACTCCCTCTCCCCCCTCTCCGCCCTCCCCACTCTCTCTGTCTGGGAACGGCGGTCTACTTCTCTCTGCCTGTATGGACCTGCTGCTTCAAGTCTGCCCGCCCCCAGCGCCTCCCGTTCCTATCCCTGCTGCCCCTATTGCAACTACTTCCCCTACCGCACCTACAGCCCCTTGTCATGTCTCCGATCGGAATCGATTCGGCCGTCCAGCCTTGATTGGATCTGTGCTAAAGTGGGGGGAGCGTAACGAGCACCATGCAGGCATGGCGTGGGGAGCGGGTGCGGCAGTGGTGGAGGGGTGGAAGGGCGCGCCTGGCGGCGCCTATCCTGGTGAAGGTAGAGGATCGTACGAAGCTGGGCATATGGACGGTGATGACAGGCAGCAGCCGCAGCAGCAGTATGAGGGTGCTCAAGCATGTGGTGGTGCTGGTGAGGGGAGTGGTTGGGAGTGGGTGACAGGCAGCAGCAGTTACTCTGCTGCTGATGCCAGCCACGGTGCTGGGGATGCTGATGGTGATGTGTCGGGGACGTGCGTGGACCCAGATGGGAGTGTGAAAGTTTGTGACACGGATGTGCATATGAAGGTGGATCAAGGTGGGGATGAGGACGGTGGACACATGGATATGGATAAGGCTGACGTGGCAGGTAATGGAGAAAGAGACACGTGTCTTCTTGAGACGCAGCCAGAGAGAGGCGACATCATCCAGGGAGGTGGAGAGCTCGGACGGAAGCTGGACGTCGCTGCGTCAGATTCACCTGAACAGGCACCTGAAGCGGCACCTGAAAAAGCACCTGAGCCTCCGTCGTTCATCGCCAATCAGCATCCCAGCGTTTCTGTGGACCTCCTATGGGATACACTCCCCTTGGAAAGCAAGCACGTTCAAGAGACCCCCAGTCGGCATCCGCCCTTTCTGCAATCTCCCTCTCAACAGTCGTGCTTTCCACATCCCCCCTTTCCGCATTCCCCTTTACCACACACCGCCCTGCAGCAATCAGTCTCCCCTGCAACGCCCCTACTGTCTCCGTCCTCCCCCTCCCCTCTACTACCCTCCCATCTCTTGTTCCCAGACCTCACCTCCCCTCCCTCACACCCCATCTCTCCTCTCACCCTCTCCCAACATCCCTTCTCTCTGCCCCATCTCTCTCACTCCCCTTCGAACCAAACGCTCGAAGGGGCTCAGATGGCCCAACTGGCACACCCGGGTTCAAATCCTGGCGCTGCCAGTTTTCAGAATGACTCATTCCATGCCAGGGAATTCTCCCCTCAGGTATCCAGGCCTCTGCTCCCTCACCTAATACCACTAGACAGGGTTGGGGAGGGGTTGGTGGGTGCAGTGGGTGCAGTGGGTTCGGTTGGTGTTGTGGATTCGGTGGGTTCCGTGGGTGTGGTGGGTGCAGGGCAACGAGAGGCCATGCTGTGGGGAGAAGGGGTCAAAGGGGAGGAGGCTGAGGGTGAGAAAGGAGGCGCGAGAGAGTGGGGGAAGCGTGTTGTGAGAGTGAAGGGAGAGGAGGAGGAGGAGGAGGAGGAGGAGGAAGAAGAAGAAGAGGAGGCAGAGGGGGAGGAGGAGGGAACTAAGAATCACGAGGAGGATAAAGAGGAGAAAATGGAGTGGGGAACACAGGAAGGGGAACCCGGCCAAGGGGTTGGGTTGTCTATCTGTGGGGCACCAAGTGATACCTGTGAGAATTCTAAAAAATATATCACAGGGATGGCAGTTGTGGGTGAGGCAACAGCAGCACAGGTTGTGCGTGACCTTATGGGGTGTGACTTTGAGGAGCGCTGGCAGCAGCTGCTGTCCACGCATGACGGTGGGGCGCGGTGGGGTGACTGTGAGTGTGACTGTAACAGGTGTGCTGCTGCGCAGGGTGGGGGAGGAAGGGAAGAGGGAGGAGAGGACGAAGAGGGGAAGGAGGGAAGCACAGGAGTGGAGGAGGAAGGGGGGGAGGAGGAGGAGGAGGAGGGGGGGGGTGCTGGGGGTGTGAGGGGCGAGGGAGGTGTGTGTGGGAAGAAGGGTGAGGGGTGGGTGGAGAGAGATGCAATGGAGAAGGGGGAGGGAGCGGAGGGAGCGGAGGGAGGGGAGGGAGGGGAGGGAGCGGAGGAGATGATTTTAGGGAATGGCGAGTATGGTGGTTTGCTGGATGACAATGGGACCTGCTGGAGAGGAAGGAGAGGAACGGCTAGGAGGGAGTCTGCTTGCTGCCTTGCCAGTGAGGTAAGGGAGAGAGGAGAGGGAGGGACGGGTAAAGAAGTGAGGGAGGCGAGGTGAGGCAAGGGAGGGGCGAGGCAACGGAGGCCTCGACGGAGGTAGAGGTAAGTATATCTCTCTATAGCTTCCGGATTAGATGAGGGCTGTGGGTATGACTCCCATGTTAGCCATGATTCTTATACTATCCTCAGTCCGCTCCCCCCTGTGGTTCCTGTTTCCAAATCAGGTCCACTCGCCCAGTTTGTTCCGCGTATTCCCCTCTTCGTCCCAACCCCCCCTCGCTCTCCCACAGTTACTCACAGCTCTACACGTCTACGCCTCCTCTCTCTCCACTCTCCGCGCTCGATTTGCCTCCGCTGCCAACACTGCCGCCGCTGACTTCTACTCTTCTCTGCCTCTGGGCATCGTGAGAGGAAGCTTCCAGGAAGCAGCTGTAGCCATCCAGCAGCGCATGGTGAGTTATGTCCATAGCAGAATGCTCTGCTCTTCTGTGCTCTAGGTGAGTCGTATCATTCATGTGCTCAGGTGGAGGTCAGGGAGGAAAAGGAGTACCTGATGAAACGAAAAGGTGCACAATACGCCAATTATGCTGTTCAGGTACTCAGGTGTGCAAGCCATTTCTGCTGTTCACGTATTCAGGTGTGCGAGCCATTTATGGTGACTGTTTGAATCCCCTACGCTCTTCCCTGCATCGTCTTAATTACTCATTTCCACTATTCTCACCCCTCCCGCCTCCCTCCTGCCTCCTCCTTCATTCTCGTCCTTGCATCCTAAACCTCCCACTCATTTTTACAGGGGAGAGAGTGTCCAGAGCATGCAGCAGCAGCAGCAGCACGCCACAAGGGAGGAGGGGGTGGAGGGAGACAGTGCGAGCAGGAGTGGCAGCCACAACTGGGTGGCTGGTCCTTCCCTATGGGTTTGGAGGAGGAGGCACAGGAGAAGGGGAGCAGAGGAGGGAAGCAGGAGGTGCAAGACGAACATAGGCAGCAGCAGCAGCATCAGCGGTGCCTGCCAGATGAGACGACTGCCATTCTGAGAGGGTGGCTCTTTGAGCACTTCCTCAGCCCGTGAGTGCGATTTCCAAGGTAGAGTGGATGGGAGCATGAGGGCATGAGGGCATGAGAGCACGAGAGAGTGAGATCATGAGAGCATGCAAGGATGAGCATAAGAGCACGAGAGCATGAGCGCATGAGAACATGACGGCATTACGGCACAAGAGCGCAAGGGCACGAGGGCACAAGAGCAGGAGAGCGGGAGAGCATGAGAGCGCGAGGGCACGAGGGCACAAGAGCAGGAGAGCAGGAGAGCATGAGAGCACGAGGGCACGAGGGCACGAGGGCACAAGAGCAGGAGAGCAGGAGAGCATGAGAGCGCGAGGGTACGGGGGCACGAGCAGGAGAGCGTGAGAACATGACGGCACAAGAGCACGAGGGCACGTGGGCACAAGAGCGGGAGAGGGTGAGAGCATGAGAGCGTGAGAGCAGGAGGACATCAAATGCCTTTCATCAAGAGCCACGTGCCTGTGACTTCATGTTTGCACGGTGCATGCATTCGCGTGTCAGTCCTTGCAAGAAGGTTGCTTGCATCACGTCGCCCGGCCACACGTCGACATCTTAAACGTGCACGTGCACGTGCATACACGCGGGGCATACCCATAGACAAACATGCATCTGTGACACTGACTTGCGCAATAAGATTGCCCGCTAAATTCTGGCATGTGCACTGCTCTGCCTTGCAATGCAGGTATCCAACGGACGAGGAGAAGGATGAGCTTGCCAGGGCAACTCACCTCACCCGTGCCCAGGTGAGGAGTGACTGGTTGACTAGAGAGGGAGAGAGAGGGAGAGAGGGGGGATGTTGCGGTGGAAAGGGGGCACGAGGGCATGATCAGGGTGGCTTGTTATGGGATTGACTTACAATCCGTTTTTGGAAACCACAGAGTTGCTGTAAATGCCACAGAAATGGGATATGCATGCTTAGCGTATGTCCACTACATATACATCTTATACCTCTGGTGTTGCTTGGCTCTGTGCAGGTCTCTAATTGGTTCATCAATGCCCGCGTGCGAATCTGGAAGCCAATGGTTGAAGAAATGTGTGGCTCATTAAAAAATGCAGGAGTACAATGTGGTTTAAAGGCCGAACGAGATACTATTTGATAATAGATCGATTCATTTCGTCATGAATTCATCTTCAACCGCTATATCATGCTTTCATGATAGAGGGTGTTAGTGTGTAATCTCATATTATAGCAGGGCGTAATATCATCGTGTAGTAAAATTTTGCATTGTACGTCAGATGACGTTATCATTGTGTCACAAAAGTAGTACACTTAGGGCATGTTCCTCGCCTGTGGCAGAATACTTTGTGGCAAGTTTTGACAAGTTTTTTTTACGGTCATGATTGCAAGAAAGGAGATTTTGGATGATCCTGAACGTTGAAAGAGGCAGATGGAAAACTTGCCACAAGGTGTGCCACAGGCAAGGAACGTGCCCTTATTAGTGGCCTTGAATGGATAGTGGCAAGAGTAGGCTTGGATGCGTTGGATTGTGCTGTCAGGGGAAATTACCCATGAACCGTAAACTATCCCGTAACACTACTCTGTCAACAAACATATCGTTCTGTCTACAAATATTTAGTTGGTTTATATATGTTTGTTATCGCCTAGCTAGTTCAGTTCTTAGAGTGGACATGTACTTGTATCTCCCTTCCCCCTCTTCCTAGTCACACTCTTTTCCGCTACTCTAACATGGTATTGAGCTAGGTTAGATTTTGTTTTTTCCGCTGTCATTCACGCTTCCGCCGTAACTCACGCTTCCGCCGTAACTCACGCTTCCGCCGTTACTGTAGTGTGTGTGTGTGTGTGTGTGTGTGTGTGTGTGTGTGTGTGTGTGTGTGTGTGCGTGTGTGTGTGTGTGTGTGTGTGTGTGTGTGTGAGAGTGTGTGTGTGTGTGTTTTTTTTTTTTTTTTTTTTTTTCCCCGTGTGCAACTTTCCCAATTTCGCACACCTCCTGCCCTCCTATATTGCGCTCTGTAGCCTCGACGCCCTCCCCCTAGCGTTCGTGCTGTTTCGTACAGCAGCCAGCAGGCCAGCGAGCCAGCCAGCACGCTAACCAGCACGCTTGCCAGCACACCAGCCAGCATGCTAGCCAGCACGCTAGCCGACGCGCCAACCAAAGCGCCGGCCAGCATGCCAGCACGCCCGCCAGCGCGATAGCCAGCACGCTAGCCAGCACGTCAGCCAATGCGCCAGCCAGCTAGCCAGCATGTTAGCCAGCTAGCTCGCCAACCGTGTTAGCCAGCGCGCCGCCAGCAGTGCTAGCCAGCTCACCGCCAGCAGCGCCAGCCAGCTAGCCACGAGCAGCGTCCGCCAGCTCGCCGCCAGCACCTGCTGCCAGCTACTTGCTAGCAGCACCTGCCAGCTCGTCACTGGCCAGCTTGCTGCTGCGCCAGCCACTGCTGCCAGCTAGTCGCCAGACAGCCGCCGCCACTGCAGCCGCCACTGCCACTGCAACTAGTGCTGCTGCCTGTGCCACTGCCGCTGCTGCCACTACTGCTGCAACTGCCGCAGTGGCCACTGCCGCTGCCCCAACCGCTGCAGCCACTGCCGCAAAGGCTGCAACCACTGCTGCAACCGCTGCAGCCACTGCCGCAACTTCTGCAGCCACTGCCGTTGCCGCAGCCGCCGCTGCCACTGCAGCCACTGCCGCTGCAGCAGCCCACACTGCCTCCGCTGCCGCCACTGCCGCTGCAGCAGCCCACGCTGCCGCCGCTGCCACTACTGCAGCTGCTGCCGCCACTGCCGCTGCCGCCTCTGTCGCTGCAGCTGCTGCCCGTGCAGCCGCCACTGCCGCCACTGCCGCCGCTGCCACTGCTACAGCTGCTGCCGCCACTGCTGCTGCCGCTGCTGCCGCTGCTGCCGCTTGCGCTGCCACAGTTTGCGCTGCCACCGCTGCCACTGTCGCCGCTGCTGCTGCCACTGCCGCTGCAGCAGCTGCCACTACCGCAGCTTGTGCTGCCGCCGCTGCCACTGCCGCAGCTGCTGCAGCCCCTGCCGCTGCCGCCACTGCCGCTGCCGCTGAAACCGCCAGCTGCAGCCGCCACTGCCGCCGCCGCCCACGTAGCTGAGCTGCCACTGCTGCCGCTGCCCTTTCAGCCACCACTGCCGCCATTGCCGCCACTGCCCTTGCAGCTGCCGCTCCCGCCACTACCGCCGCTGCTGCTGCCGCTCCTGTCGCCACTGCTGTTGCCAACCGTCAGCTTAAGCCTCCACCAGCCTGGCCACCAGCAGCCAGTACCAGTCGCCAGCCGCCAGCAGCCAACCACCGGCAACCAGCCGCCGAACCCCAGCTGTCAGCCGCCAGCTGCCACCACTCGCGGCCAGCCGCCGACCACCAGCCGCCAGTCGCCAGTCAGCCGCCAGCTGCCAGTCCCGAGTCGGCCTCCAGCCGTTATTCGCCAATCGGCCGCCAGCCTCATGAGTCCCCTATGCCCTGTGGACTGTCATCCGCCCTGTGCTGCCAGTCCTAGTGAATCCTAGCTAGCTCCTTGGCGTGCTGCTCCTAGTAGCTCCTCTCCCACGAATTCCTCCTCGTTTGTTCCCTACTCCTCTTTGCAGCTCCTAGCCTCCAGCCAGCAGCTCACAAGCCGCTGTTCACCGATCCCAACTTGCCGCCTCTTGCTACCAGCCCGCCGCCAGCTAGTGCCACTACCGTCTTACTGTCACTCGCTCCTGCTACCGCCAGCCTTCCGCTAGGCGCTGCTACTACTAGCCTCCTACTCGCTGCCACTACCCTGGCCACAGCCGCCACAGCTACTACCTTTGCTAGTGCACCTGTGGCACTTAGTGCCTCCCAATAGTCTCGTCCTCATTTCTAGAGTTCCTCGATGCCTCTCCTCTTGACATGATGGCCTCGTTAGGGTCGGTCCATTGGCCACCACCGTGTCTAGTCTAGGAGCCTCTACTATGTGTCCCCTAGGCTCCTCTCTTGCCCCTCCTGTAACAGCCCTCTCCTTTATCCTTGACTCAAGAGCATCTCGTTGCTTCTTTAGAGATAGTGCTACTCTCACCACAATTTCTGCTCCTGTCCGTGTCGCACTAGCAGACTCCTCAAGCACAAGTGTCGCACGTAGCACCAACAGTCTCCCTTGTCCAACTGTATAGTAGTGACAGTTTTCTTGAAATCCTGGTCTATGTGAGTCGTCACTACAGTATAAACTGCACCAATCCCTCAAGCGAGTATCATTGACCAGATTCTTATAGCTCATATCGGGACCCCGTCGGCTTCTTACTGTGTCGACACATTCTAGTGCTGCAACTACTGCCTTGAAGGTCGACAACTCGTGAATGAGTATGACCCTTGATATGTCTGACCTTAGTCCCTGGAGGTAGCGGTCATGCATTTCTGCTATGGTGAACTTGTCTATTTCGTTGCAGAGGCTCCAGATTCATCGTGCGTACTCCTGGACATTTCGTATCCGGTGGAAATGACACACGCGCTACCTAGCAGCTTCGGAGGCATTCACCAAGTCGAACCTAGCCTTAAGTGCCGCTTCAAGTCCTTCCTCATGTCCTTGGAACTGTGGTAACACCCAAAGCTAGACCACCCAAGCTTGACATTGCAGCTGTATTCCCATGGTCTTGCTGACGTCTGTCTACGTGAGCCCTTCTTACTGTAATTTGCGTAAGTTGGCATCACTACTCCAAGGACGGTCCTCTTAGAAATATTATGACATACTCGATCCGCTGCTGCGCACCCGTCCTTTGCACTCCGCTCGTGTTGTAGTTCTTGAGCATGGACATCCACGTCCGCACGTTTGTGTCGCGATGACTTGGATCGAACGGCTCAAGCTTCTGCGACTTGAGCGTCGTTAAGTGATACGGCAGCGCTTGCACGACGGTTGACATGTTGGGCGCAGGAGTAGGTGCGGGATGGCCATGGGGGTTTGCAGAAGCCAATTTATGAAGCTGTAGCATTTCAGCCCACCTGACGATTTTCAAGTGTCAGCGCATCAAGTTGTTGCATGAGGGTGGTAAGCAAGGTTCCTGCTGACGTTTAGGGCAGTCTGAGAATCATACGGGGTACGGAAGTTTTGTCTGACCACCATATGAGGCGTTTGGCTTGGTCTTAAATTTCAGACGAAGTATGCAGCCGTATCTGTGTTTGCAGATGAAATTTCCCTCCTGAAAATCAAGCAGCTCATCCTCTAGGCTTCGTCTTTAGCACATGAAACATTGGACGTGTTCCAGACAGCACTACTCGTAATAAGATTCCTAGGTCAGCAGCTACGGCATTACAAACATCCTACGAGCCACAATTGTAGCTAACATCCTACAGCAGCTAATCCTAACTCTACCAAAGTGTTTGGCTTGTTGCTAACATCCTAGAAGCTCACTAAAGCTTCCAATACCGCTGCAGAGCCAACTAGCATTAACCCTACTCAGACTCACTGTCATTGCTGCATCCTTGCTCATCCTCCTAACTGTCAAACTCTAGCAAAATTTCTCTGCCCTTGCCCTTCCTCTTCCATACAGTGCCAGCTGCACCATCCTCATCAAACATCCGTGCCGCCTCTGCTGCTGCAAGCAACTCTGCCTATAGTGCTGATGCTACTGCTGCCTTCACTGCTGTTCTTGCTGCCTTGAATGCCGCTGATCGCTTCTGCCTCTTCGCCCAACGTGAACCTCGCCCCATCACTACCTCCCTCACAAGCTGCCTCTTCTTGACCCCACGCCACTTCGCTACCATGCCGTCCCACTCCATGTCATAGTCGAGGAGCAACATGGTCATCAGATCGCTGAGCTTCACGTCGTACATGTTGCCGCGCAACCAACTCTTAATGATGTTCTAGCGGCTGAAGCTGCACTCGCACTCGACAGTGCTCAATGGCAGCACTGCCACTGCTATCCAGATGCTGACGATATTCGTGTAGGCAGTCTTCCATTTGGGAGTGGAGAGCATGTTCTTCAAGCTTATATGAAAGTCGAGGTCATCCTGGTGAGTAGACATGATAGTGGTGAAGCTGTTCACCTCATTTTTCACCTTCCCCCAATGGACACCTTCAGGACAGGGGACAGAAGAGCCAGGGGAGAAAGGAGGGTGTTTAGTAAACGGTAGACAGGGTTGAAGTAAAGACACATCATGAACAAGGCAGAGAAAGACTTGAGCCACAAGCATCCTTAAATACGACAATAACCTGGCAGCGTGTCGGGAGCGGAGGAGTCGTGCTTCCACAGGTTGCGGAGAGACTGCAGCCACGCCACGAAATTCCGCTCCCACTTTGCCGCCGTCCGGGGATAGAGACCCTGCTTGAACAGTCGCGTGCCGTTCAACGACGTCAGGTC